ATTTTCTTTAAAATATAAGATGTTGTTCATTTTATTAAATATTTTTAGTTTTACATTACGGACTGACTTTGATAAGATGATCATGAGCCAAGTTTTTCGTTACGATTTGGTTATTATTATGTGCTTCTTAATACTTGGACAATCAACTATGTATTGGATGAAGATAAAGATTATATAGTAAGATTGATTAACAAAAACGAAACAACTATACTTACAAAGAATGTATCGTAAGATTGATTCAGGAAGAGATATGTAGGCGATTATATTAATTAGGTCACTAGTTCATTTGCTCATAATAACCAGCTCACTATTGTTTCTCAATGATCGTATGATATCAAGACAAAATTTTGCCAAAAATATTACCTCTTCTACTTTAGATTCATCCATTTTTATTAAGATGGGGGTATGTCAGTGATAGTAACTTCAAACTAATATTATCTAGGCCTTTAGGAATCTTCTTGTATTAACTTAAAATCTTAATTATCTTCATTTCATTCTTGTCCTGATTTTTATTGATTCTTATCACTATTAATTTTAAATAAGTCTTATGTGCTCACTTAGTCGTTGGTTCACTTTTTCTCATTTTCTTCCGTTTACAAGATCTCACATACTCTGCTCTGCTCACTCCCCAGTATACAATATACCTTCATGATACACACAAATGTACTAAAGTCCAAATATTATAACCGGATTTCCTTTAATCTTTTTTTCAATTATTATAATTTCTCACAATACGATTACTTTCATCAATTATTTTTTCGAGTTTTATTCACTGAAATTAATTAGGAACTACGTTATCGTTATGTCTGAAGCGATTATGAGTTCACCCAGACTCTGTGATCAAAGAACAATAAGCTTGTGGTGGCTGTGCTTCGTTAATCAATCACCCTCGTAACCATTATCATATAATCCTCGTCGGTGTTTGGAATCAGAAGGCAAAGAGAAGCAGCCACTACAGTTTTATTAGCAGATATTCAGACCACAAATCGGAGAGGCGAATGAGTGAGTCAGAGAGTCAAATATGTAGGACTAAATGTATATATATATAGAGAGAGAAATGAATAGATCATCGAATCAATTAGGCAGCTAGTAATAAAGCTAGCAGAATGAATATATGCGTAGGCAGTAAACAATGCTTAAGCAGACATGTTCATACATACGCAACAATAATAAAGGTACAACGATTTAGATAAGTTGTTATTATACGAATGACTCTGTCCGTTAAATAAGCTAACAAATAGGCTTAACCGAATTAAATATGAAAAAACTCGATTGCACGTGAGCTGCTATAAGCTAGCTATTCTAATACGTCCCAGCCCCGCTAACTAGAAAGAGAAATCCAAGTTCGAAACGGAGATATATATTCCGCAAGCAACTAGAAGCACGAGTAACCACGACAAATACACTCATTTTTGATTAATAATCAGAATAAATCACATATATAAAAAAATAATTCATACAAGAATATCGTATATTATAAACAACAAAATGTCATAGGGGAAATAAAATTGAAATAAACTTTCAGAATTAATGTTGAATAAAAAGTCATAATGAGTAAATCAATTTAATTTTTTGACTTATCATTCTATTATAATAGTTATGTATTTTAAAGTGCCTTGTTCTAATATCAACTCCGCCTGGAGCCCCTCTCCGGGGGCTACTGCCGGTCCCAAGCCCGGATAAAGTAGGAGGGTTGGACATGGGGTTAGCGACCCCATCCCGTAGAAAACTAACTCGCTAAAAAAACGCTAACCAGAAAAAATTATTCAAACCATTTTAACTCTGCCCTGGGAGTCAGAAGGTCTTCGTTTAGAAGAATTATGACGCCTCATGATGAAAGCCGAGTTTCTTCGGAAGTCACGAGGCCAATGCCCCTTCTGACAACCAGAGCAACCATTTATTTAGGTACATGGAATGTTCTAATATCAGATATTCAACTTTTATTCCTTTTATAGAATAAGTTCAAAGATGAGTTATTATATTATTCTATATACTATAATCGGATGATATTTTATCTTGTATACAAATTCAACAATGTTGATAATCAAATAAGAAAGAAAATTTTCAACATTGAAAAGAATTCCATTCTATTTCTTTCTTTAAATATGATAAAACCAAGTCAATATGGCTTTCTCTCTCCCTCTCTCTCTCTCTCTGTATGTGTGTTTGTGTTTATGAATGATGTTGCTATGATAATTTATGAACAGAAATAGGTAGAATGAAGAAAATTATTGTAATGAATATGATATGATAAGATTTTGTCTTGAGTAAAAATACAAAAAAAAAAAAAATAAAAACATGAAAATGTTAGACAATTCAATAAAAAAAACAGTAGTAATAATAATAACCAGAAAAAAATATTAAGATCGAACAAAATTCAAAAATTTTTTGAAAACTATTGAACTTTTGTAGTTTATATCATGAAATGAATCGTAAACAAATTAACCAGTGAAAACTAGGAACAATTGAATAAGTATTTCTATTCATTAAAGTAATCTTTAGCAATGCATATTCACTATCCTATTGAGATATTCAAATGCTATTTAGCCTTGAAGAAAATATAAAAATTGTAGGCAGTTCTTGAGAGAAGAGAGTGAATAAATCAATTATACATTTTTGACGGAACAGAAGTTGATAATTTTTAAAAATGATGGGAAATGAGTAACGATTATGTTGAATATACAAAATTGTCTTAAGATGCAATCCCATGATGTTATAGCTACCCAAACATATACAAAATAGATATTTCTCTTTATCATTTACTTACTTACTTATGCCTGTTACTTCTAATGGAGCATTAGAAGCCGACCAGGATTCCACAACCTAATCTGTCCTGAGCCTTCTTTTCTAGTTCCATCCAATCCTTGTTCATTTTTCTCATGTCTATCTCCATTTCCCAGCATAATGTGTTCTTTGGTCTTACTCTTATCCTTCTCTGGCCTTGAGGATTCCAATGTGAGGGTTTACCTTGTGACACAGTTCGGTGATTTCCTCAATGTGTTTCCTATCCACTTCCAACTCTTCTTCCTAATTTCGTCCTCAGCTGGGAACTGGTTTGTTCTCTCCCACAGTAGGTTGTTGTTAATAGTGTCCGGTCAACTAATCCGAAGTATTTTGTGTAGACTGTTGTTAATAAGCGCCTGTATCTTCTGTATAATGGCTTTCGTGGTTTTCCAGGTTTCGGCCCCATACAGTAGAAGCGTCTTGACATTTGTATTGAAAATCCTGACCTTGAAGTTGGTTGCCAATTGTTTTGAGTTCAGTTGTAAATATGCTGCTCTTGATTAATTAACTGACATCAATATATACAGAAACATGGTGATACCATTGGATATTACTCTCCACATCATAGATATTTCTTTCATGAAGCCAATTTGCATCTTATGTGATTAAATTAAAAATAATGACTTTGACACTGATACCTCGAAGCATAATTCAGAGAAACTTAACCTCCATCTCTCTCTCAATGTACAATTCATACCTAGTGACCAGTTCTGTAGATAAACCAGTATATTCTAATCAGGTTACCACCTGAACACCATATATCAGAAGGTTTCACGGCCATTCCTTAGAATACAAACTGAAGCTTAAATAAAAGAATCGATCTAATCTATAAAAGAAATATGTTGACGACAAATTTCATCCTCTTTGAAGGTAACAGAAAATATCATGGCATGCTGAAGAAATTTAATACACAAGATCATTCTAATATTTTCACACTAGAACCAGAAATTAACTTAGAAATCCACTTCTTTAATATTTATTAAGATGAAAACCAAACAATACTCTACAAAGATTAATGAAAGAAAATTAACTTGGTAAGTGCAGTGTTGAAAATTTTCAAATTTGCAAACCTTTGAGAAAGAAGTGAAGCCTAAATCATTTTCTATCCTCAAAAACCAAATGAATTTGCATGGAATAAAAAATCGGAAGTGAATTGTCAAACGTACCTTTCAACCTAAATTTATTGAGTGAAATCTGAAGCCAAAACGAAAGGCTGACAAACTTCGAGGGGGATCCTCCACCAGTGACGGTAAAACTCGGTACCATGATCTCTGATAAAGATCTACCAGGTCGAATTTTTTCTACCGGCACAAAGTTAAGAGGGATAGAGGATAGACCTTTGCCTTCGGCCGCTTCACTCTGTATTTATATGTGTACTTGCTCTTGTGAAATATGTCATGTTGGCCACACAGTGTGCTCCTTTTTAATATGTTTCAAGTACTACTCTACACTGTTGTTTAAAGGTGAATTTAAAATTATCAGCAGTTTCACCAGTTATGGCCACTTTATCCCACCGAAAGTAATCTTCTAAATCATCTGTAATATAATACTTGTGTATAATAAAGATTCTAGCAATTCATCACTTCAAGCATGTTCTCTTCTTCTACAGGTACTTTATTTAATCGCTCACCTTACTATGATGCTAATTTCCACTCTAATTTTGTCATAATTATTGCCAATTTTTTATATGTGTTACCAGATACATCACTTTGGTAAGTGAGATCATCAAACAGACATTTTTTTCCACCAAACTGTTTACGTTTTCTTATCGACCCAATAGGCTTCTTTCTTAGTCAACTGAAAATTAACTATATATATATTGGTACCCAAAGTGAAAAAATGTTAGTGTCAACTTCAAGAGATACACCTTTCTGATATGATATTTCAGTAAGCTTTTCCGATTATAAACTGTTCCCTTTGACATTATTCTACGTTAGCTGTCTTCCTCACTTTATCCAAACAATAAAACAAGGAACAATCTATTTAAACTGATTCCTATACTTGATTAAAAATGATAACACAAGTGCAACAATATTTTTATTTTGATTTATCATTTAATCATTTTATTACATGGACCAATAATAAATTAGATTAATTCAATATTGGCCAACAGTGAGCACTTTCCAATGACCAATCATTTTACAGGATTGTGTCATCTTGAAATTAAAAAAAAGCATATATAGAGATATTTATGTGATAAACATTCCCTTATCGAATTACTTTGTAAACTATGGCTGTCAGAGTCAGAAACACTCTATCACCATTCTATGTAGAATTAGCTAAAAAGGATCTGTCAGAAAATCCAGCACATATCCAAGCACATTTGACTGCTTTTAAACGATGGTTAAGCTCATGTCAACACTTAACAATACCTCAAGGTAAGACTATAATTAAAATTTGAATTAGAAATAATGATAATTTGTTACCGATCTTATAAATATTATTTATTATCATATATACATGTATAGGGTTGTGGAAATGGTTGAGTTTAGATTGATATCATGAATGGATCAGTGTTAAAGCACCATTGGAAACCTAGAAGTACTGAAAGGCTGTTTCGTCCTAGCCACTAATGATTGGCTTCAAGATGGACTTCCTGGAGTTCTAGTGAGGTGCCATGACCAGTGAAGTCCAACTGTGTCTGTTGTGAGGCAGTTATTTACTGAAAACAATGGTAGACGGTCGCGCAATACCGTTAGATGCCGGCTCAGTGGTCTAGAGGTTAGGCGTTCGTGAGTTAGACCGAAGGTCCTGGATTCGAATCTCACTTGCGGGATCGTGGATATCCACTGATGAGGAGACCCATACTAGGACGGAATGGCCGTCCAGTGCTTCTAGATTTTCAATGGTGGTATAACATTGATCTATTCATGATATCAATACATACATGTATCTGGATGTAATAAACTTCGGTTATAACATTTGATACTGAATTTATTAATAAACTAATATAATTGTCAAGTCATATTCGTTGAATTAGAGATTCATTACAATACATCCCCATAGTTTTCATTATTAAGACTGAAGCATTCATATTTAATTGATAGTAAATATTATTTAACAAACTAATCGAATGTTTCTAGTCGAAGTTCCTTAATATTTTTTATTAATATTATCATCAACTACGTGGGATTACCTGATTTGCCAAGGTATGTCTCCGTAACATTAATAATAATTGTGTAACGGATCGTCTTTCAAGTTGGTAACATTGATGACTTGATAAATTTAAAGGGTTTGCTTGATCATGGACTAAATTTAAAATAGAGATTGCTGAGCTAATATTACAGGGTTAAACATTAATTTGAATTCTATATAGGACTGACTGAAAGATTAGTTTATCGGTTACAGGCAAAAATTAGATCCGTTCATCTTTTTCAAATTGTATTATGACTGATATATTGAGTTAAATTCTAATGATCAGTCTTGCCTTACTTTAACAAAAGAATGAAATAATCATATGTTTTTTTTTTGATCTTATATTATTACTGTTTGCAGTAACACTTGGTTTTTCTTCTATCCTGTTTCATTTATGAGAATCTTTCTCAATACAGATAATTGTAATCAATTAGTTCAATAGTTCCTAAACTTATCGAACATATTTTTCCGTACAGAAGTCTATTGATTTAGCCTTATTTATGAAAAAAAATACTTATTTCCTGCATATATACAATTCTCTTTATGTGTGAACTATGTAAATTGTTGTACAGGATTGGTTTTTGTAAAGACCAAATCGACATATATATTTACAGCCTAGTCTGACGTACATAAATGGATTGTGTCAAGTCCGACATTGTTTTAATTAAATAATTTCGAAGGACTGTTTAGTTATTTAGTAATCATGATCACAATTTATATAACGAAATATTAAACACCAGAATCAATTATCTGCTTCAACATAGGTTGAGACATTACATTATAACACATATTTGATCAGTTACAAGATAAGGTATATGAGATTTAAGTCTTGTTGTCAGAGCATAATAGTAAAATGACTAAGTAGGAAACAAATCGAAGTAATATTGACAATTTGAGATCGATACCAATCTTATTGAAGGTAGGCATATAGCTTTTAAATCAGTGTGCCAAAATAGTATTTCTAAAATGGCTCAAATCGCGAGAAAACACAAAACTATTTGGCATACAAGAAAACTGAATTTTTTAATATTGTAAGAGCTGATTATTATGGATTGACTACACTAACAAGTAAAAAACCTTTATGAATATGATATCATAAAACGAATCAGTTTTAAGTTAAACCACTACCTAACTGTATGCTTCCAGTTATATTAGTCCACCAAGAAAATGAGACAAAGACCGACTGTTCACTGTTTACTGAACTAATTACTAATAATTTCCAGTATTGTCCACCATTATAGACTACTAATACTCGACTTGATACTGAAATTTCATTCTACATATATAGAGTATATCATTCTAAATGCATACTCAGAATTATTTGTGGACTTTACAAACTAACGTTTTATTTAAGATAAGTTGGATTCAAGAATGTGCTCATTAAAACGAACAGAAGTTATTGTACATGTTTTTTTATGTACATGTAAATTGACATTTCCCATCAGAGGTGATTAATATCAGATACTTATCCACTGTATATTTTGTATGAAGGAATCAACTTCCCAGAAGAAATGTACTTTTTGAAGTTGTATTTAGTCTTCGATTAATTTTATTCATTACTTGATTGTATTTCAATGACAATTGAATAAAAACATGTTTCTTTTTGAATTTGTATTCGTCCATTTTACTTCGATAGTCAGTACTATAATTCTTTTTAATTGATTGAGATTATCCATTGTTCCGCAGACAATTATTTTCTATTACAATATACTCTTACTCGAGCTTATAGGGCAATAGCTGCACAAGTCTATATTTTGTTGACTCCAGATCTCTTTTTTTAATGTATACGCCATTGATAAGTTCCATCATTTCTTCTAGAAATACATTACACACAACTTATTCGTTGTTGATTGCTAATTCATTTTTCCATGTCATGTTAATAATTGGAAATAATTAAACATATTAGTCTATATGTGTAGTGGGAGAAAAAGAAACGAAATATGATGAGTTTATCATATTCTGCGAATAGCGTCATTAAAAAACTACTTATAGTAAGATTATAATTTATGGATAACCTTTGAGCGACGCTAAAATGACCTGGAGAATATCCACCAACTTACTAAAGCTAAATGATAGTTATAAACCTGTTTGAAGAATGACGATTATGATTTACAGTTGATGGTTAGGGTGAAGAATCATATTTAGAGTTTTTATGACGAAGTGACATCAGTTGAAATGCCAAAACTCTATCTAGCCAAATGGATGAGTGAATTTTGCGTCAAAACCCAAGACCTTTTATCCTAAATGCGATTGATTCATCCGTAAATTATAAACCTGTAAAGTATTAAGTTGTATGTTGTTCTGAGAATAGTTTAAATTTAACGTCCAAATGTTGATAATAAAACTTATATGGGATTCCAATGACAGAATCAGTAGACAATAGCTCAAAATGAACATTCACATTTTAATTAATCGGTTCAGTGGTCTAGTGGTTAAGTGCTCGCGCGCGAAACCAGTAGGTTCTGGGTTCGAATCTCGCAGGGGGCGAGGTCGTGGATGCGCACTGCTGAAAAGTCCCACAATAGGACGAAACGGCCGTCCATTGCTTCCAGGTTTTCCATGGTGATCTAGCTTCTACTGACTCATGATCTTAACCAATGAAATTACTACAATCTTCGCAAAACCCCTTCTGATATTAATCGTTCTTTGTTAACACGACAGTTGATGACAATGATCTTGAACAATATAAGGTTGATTTCGTTGATAAACATTTCGATTTGGGCTCAAAAATGGTGTTTTAAATGTTGATCTAGGATAGTTCAAACGTGAATTCTGAGTCTAAGGCTCTGTTAATCGAGTGCTAAACTTTTATTATGAATTAAGACTACCTTTATCAAAAGCGCTAAACACAATCACCTGTCTACGTTTCAAGGTGTCAACTAATTGAAACCCGTACTTCGATCTAGCTAAAATAGGGTTTATTTTATTCTAACTATATACTAGCAGAAACTAGCTACCTAGCTACCTAAACCGCTTAAGATAGAAAATATAGTATAATTACTTAAACTTGTGACCACAATGTAATTCTATTAATATAATCCGATCAGCACCGACAGACTATAAGAACATAGCAATGGGCACTCAATATAAATTTCAATAAGAATGAATATCGTCATTTTATTCAGTACCTACAAGTGTAATAACATTGAAATTCGTTACACAACAATTTTTCTTATCGCTAATAAGAATGTTTGATTAAGCTCACGTATAAAAAATCCACTATATTCACAACAAATAATGTTAGACATTCTAATTCTTCTTTCTACGACCGTGTGAATAGAATTACTATTACTTACTTACACTTATTATCCTTCATGGAGAATCATAAGCCACCCACCATGATTCTCCAACGAAATTTATCCTGGGCGATTCATCCCATCGAAAACAACCTTATTAATAAAACTCTAACCAGAATGATCACTAAATACCAAAAATTATTCAGAGTAATAGTAGATAATTTTTCCTCTTCAAAACTACAATTCTATGATATTTCATTCTCTTGTATATTACGCTATCATTCTGTGTTATACTAGATATTTTGTGCCAGACCAACTTTCTTTTATTTATAATATAAACAAAATAATCAAACTTATATAGGTCATTGTATGTATGTATGTATGTTGTTGTTTTATTGTTACTAACGTAATTTTGTCCTAAATTCTTATTTTAAAGTAAACAATGAATAAAAAGATCATAGAAACATATCAAGGTTATTGATTCAACCAAAATCAGATAACAGTTTTCTTTAGAAAATACATAAAATTATGTGATATAAAGAATCAACATTTTCGAAATAAGATTAGTTATAGCTCACTTAAAATGACAACTAGTGAATAACCTACACTAAAGAATTAGACGAAATGACATCAGTTATTATTCACTGATTAAACAGTATAAATATTTCAGTTTTTGTGAGAGAGAAAAAAAGTATAGCCTCTGATCTGAATAATTGAAAGATAACAACTATAAGTGCAATATCAGTTAAGCTGGATTTGAATCTTTGATGATTAAAAATATAGTTTACTAATGATTATGAAGACTCTAAGATTTTCCATAAAGCATTGTCGTAGTAAACGAGAACATGAGTGAATATGTTTCAATACGAAATTACAGAATATTTCACTAAAATCTGAGTATAATACCATAAATACTTAATTTGCAAAATATTAATCAATTGTCTCAAACATGACCGTCCATTGTTTCAGATTTCATTGTTCCTGCATTTCCATACCAATTGCTTTCCATTCCCGTTTTTTTTTCTTTTTTGATCTTCTACTAAAATGATTCTATTCCTAACTATCGTTATATACTATTTATGTGAATATAAATAGCTCACACAATACTTTTAACTATCTATTAGTAGAATGATAATTATTACTAAATTATATTTTACATTTACAGACACAAAGCCGTGTGAAATATTATTAACTTTGAGAAAAATTAATATCTTCTGATAGATTTGAACTATTTCAATGTTATTTTCAATGAATATGAACCCTGAATAAAACGTTTTTAAAGCTTTAAGTGAATACTGATTCTTTTTAATAGTTATTACTTATAAGAAGAGACAAGTATTCAATTCCAAGTAAACAACTTGTTGAATGTCACTAGTAATAATGATAAAATGGATCCATTTCTTGTTAGCTTTCTAATTTGATACCTTAGAATATATATATATATATATATATATATATATATATATATATATATATATATATATATATATATCACCATTCAATGTATTAATGAAACTAGATAATATCAGTAAATCAACATAATGAACTTGAAGAGGATGCTATATAAACTTGTTAATAAGTATATGATGAAATTTGTTTAGTTAAAATAAAAGAAAATAATTGAATTTAGTGACAAGTTATATTTTGATTTTATGATTTATTTAATTAAAATAATTAAATCATTATTATGGTTTCGATGACTCAATTGTTCACATCATCAATCGGCACATTCTAATCGATGCGTAACCACAATTCTAGTTAACTGATTTATTCTTTCGTTTGAATGAGTAGATTTTATTTGGCATTGGTAAAATAAACTTATGTTCAATACTTAATTTAAGTATAGCCGAATATATATATATATATATATATATATATATATATATATATATATATATATATATATATATATATATATATGTATATATATATGGAGAGAGAGAGTGAGTATATAGAGTACACTTTTATTTAATAAACAATAACAAATTGCTCTAGAAAATGGTTCTTTTCAATTAACTGTTCTTTATGACTCTACATTAGCATAGGTGTATACATTTTAAAATACACAACAGATTAGGTACCAATTAATTAGTACTGAGGCTGTTATAAATATTGTAAATATAGAGTTTACATAGATTCTGTTAGCTACTTATAATTTAAAGCAATGATAATAAAACCTTTACGAATGAATCACATAAACTGTTTCTTTAAAAAACAAGGGAGGGGGGGGGCAAAAATGTAACACAAATCACATCTATAGAATAATTCTTGGTGGAATATGAAAATTTCACGGATACAAATCAATAGAAGGTCAACAAATATACAAAATTTTTAAAAATTCTTCATCTATCTGACTACTTATTGGTTAGTTAGATGAGTATTCTAGACAAAAAAGACTGTGGAGCATATCGATAACAACTTACTTACTAACGCTTGTTACTCCTAATGCAGCATAGGAAGCCGACCAGGATTCCACAACCTAATCTGTCCTGAGCCTTCTTTTCTAGTTCTATCCAATCCTTGTTCATTTTTCTCATATCTATCTCCATTTCCCAGCATAATGTGTTCTTTGGTCTTACTCTTATCCTTCTCTGGCCTTGAGGATTCCAATGTGAGGGTTTACCTTGTGACACAGTTCGGTGATTTCCTCAATGTGTGTCCTATCCACTTCCAACTCTTCTTCCTAATTTCGTCCTCAGCTGGGAACTGGTTTGTTCTCTCCCACAGTAGGTTGTCGTTAATAGTGTCCGGTCAACCGATCCGAAGTATTTTGTGTAGACAGTTGTTAATAAGCGCCTGTATCTTCTGTATAATGGCTTTCGTGGTTTTCCAGGTTTCGGCCCCATACAGTAGAAGTGTCTTGACATTTGTATGGAAAATCCTGACTTTGGTATATATCGATAACTAAGAAATAAAAAATTAATAATTGAGACTGTGTAATTTTTAGTACGAAATGAAAAATGAGGGATTGATTGCCAAGTAAAAACGAACAAATAAGTTCAGATAAAAACAAAGAAAATAAAGAATAAAATATTTTTCTTCAAGATAAATGAAATGTTATTCTACCAAATATTCAAAAATGAAATCATTTGCGACGGTGAGAAAACAATAAATTTTAACATTTTTGATTGAGATCATGAACTGATTGAAATTAGACCACCATTAAAAACCTAGAAGTACTGGACGGCCGTTTCGTCGTTTTGTGGGACTCTTCAACAGTGTGCATCCACGATCCCACATGCGAAACTCGTATCAAAAACTTTCAATGGTGGTCTAACACCAATCAATTCATGATTTTAATCAAAAACTTAATAATCTCTACAACCCTATACTGAAAATTCGAATTTTATCACAAAAAAAGAATGAGCAAGAAAATATCAACAATTTGACTTACAACATTTTTGACAACATAAAATTTACAATCCCACGCAGCCAAAAGCTGAAACGACCAAGAAGAAAAGCCAAACATCCTATATACAACAAACTGTTCCAACTGTGAGAAACATTACATCAAATAAAGTGGACGAGCTCTTCATCTTCGTCTGAATGAACATTAACTAGCTAGCAAACACTGAATGTAATTTTTACCATTATCGATGCACGTCGATAATTGTGGATATATATTCAACTGGGATGTCGAGAATTTGGACAGAGGAAATACAAAGAAGTGCAGTGAATTTTTGGAAGCTAAGCACTCAGATTAGTGAGCAATCAATAAACACACAGAAATCAACTAGATTGATCGAAGACTTATAAAGGATCAAGAGTTAGGTCTAAGGAAGAGACAATCAAAATAAATATACAGACAACAACAGGAAACTAATCAACAATAGCAAAAGTTATAAAGTGGAAAGAATTGCATACTACAGGTATTTATGAAATTGACAATGAATACTTGGCAACTCAATTCATCTATTAAGATAAATATGCTAATTACAATATTTAAAGATATTATGGAATTAATTAGCCTACTAGAAAACTCAACTCCCTCAAAATTATAGATACCTCCTACTGATAAGTACCGACTGACACAAAACCATAATCTAAGGTTTCCTATAGATCACAAAACACCAAAACAAAGTCCACACGATATTTTCACATAGACTAGTGGCCATATTACATCTTGACAGATAAAATTTATTCTGAACCAAGGACTAAACAAAGTAAACATCGATCATTATTCCGTGATCAATCATTACAAATGAGTTTATAATTAATAGATTACATAACAACAGTATTTTTAAAAAGTTGAATTTTCATCAATATTCACGTAGGAAATTAAATTAACCAACATTAACAATAGTTTGATGAGAGTAAGAGAAACTTCACAGGAAACGTTCAATGCATCCGAACAATACACCCGGTTGTACGAGTGTCCAATCATAACTGCTTAAAATAAAATTTGCTTGACAGCCTGAATTAGTTTGATCCATCCATGTACATTTTACGCTTGAAATGTCTGTGCACAGCTTGTTTGGCCTAACTCAGAATAGAACAAGTTTATTGTCAAATTTATGATCATTCTTGATAATAAGCAGAGTTGGACGGTGGCTAACAATGAAATACAAAACGCTGATTTTGTCCTATTTGTGAGTCGTCATCTGGATGTACTCCAGGACTCGAATCCAGTACCGTTCACTCCAAACTCAACCGCGTTATCCACTTAACTTATGATAGACCGCACTCCTAAACATAAATGTGAAGTTCAAAATCCTATACAAATGAGTTATTCATCATGATTTAGTAAAAGATTATAAAAGATGTTTATAATCATCATGTGGTAAATGCTACTTATGTCGACATAAGTAGTATATAACACCTGACAGAAGTGGAATGCCTGGCAACAGAAGGTTGGGAAGATAGAATCGAAAAGAATGGGAACGGAGAGTAATTATTATAGCAATGAAAGACCAATGAAGTTTGAGACAGTTGACGGAGGATTTGCAAACGGAGTATTGAATGTAACGTTTTCAGACCTGGTAAAAGAAATCTGTAACTTTGTGTTGAAACACATTTGGTTGTCACCACCTGTGTTCTCGTTCATTACAGTTTTACTTTATCATTGAATTAAACCTTTTACAGAGTGGTTTATCATTAACAATTTAATGTGGTATGTTTTTTAAATGTTGTTATTATTTCTGTTAGTAACTTTATTCAAATATTTATCTTCCTTTTCTTAAAAAAATGCTTAAAACACGAAGATGATGCTTTCCTGCTTAGTTTTCTACGTTATGCACATTATGATCATTCGGTTGCACAGAAACGCATTGATAATTTCTGTAGTATACGTTGTTTAAGTAAACATGGGATTACAGAATGGTATAAGTATCCAAAATTAACTGATCCGATTGTAGACGTATATTTAGATGCCGGGTAAGTGAATAATTTTTTTTTCATGTCAGTTGAAATTGTTTAATTTGCAGTTTACATCATTAAATGGTTGATTAGTCTAAAGGTTGAATGCTCCCTTTGAGGCCCGAAAGATCTTAGGTTCAGTCTAAAGTACGTTTGAGGGTCTTCACTGCTAAAGGGTCTACATTCTTGAAAGAAATAATCTTCACAGTCAGCTCTTGATCTTACACTGTTTGATAATTAGTCAACATACACAGAAATTCCAATAGTTCGCTCCTATTTGCAAAAATCCCAAATAGAACAACGCTTCATCAACCAATATACGTTTTGACCTCAATATGACTAGTTAAACAGATACGCTATTGAAGTATTCAAATAATACAGTGAACAAATAGATAATTTGCAGCCAATAATAATCATGAACCAATATCAGATGAACGGTCAGTAATGACCTGATTTCATCTGCACTTTAATTTGTAACTAGACTCATGATAAGTTTATATGTCTGTTTTGTCTCTCTGAGCATTGGAAGACTGAGATTATCATTCTTGTTTTGAATTATATACATTTTCATTAGTTACACCAAATATGCTGTCCTACAAACTGAGATAATCAGCTCCTGATTTGCACTAACTGATAAAAGATAAATAAGTAGTATCTGAGTCATTACTTATTACGAATCGATCATAAACGGTGATGATATGCAGTCAGATCAGTCAACAGATTCTTCAATAAATCATTGAAAACCGATGTATAGTAAGTAGATACTTCGTTTTTTGGATTACTCGAAATCGAGCGTTTAAAACTCCTAAAGAGCCAGCAGTCCACATTTCCGACTCCAATCTATTTGCCAGACGAATATTAACGATCAGTAAGTTAGTAATTTTCTGTAGATTCAGATGACTTTTTAAGTCAAAAATTCTAACTAGAATATCCAGAATATCCATCTTAACGATGACAATTCATAATGAAAATCGCCTTTAAAATATGTGAAATCTCCACTAAAAAAACTTAAATGACTAGCAATTAAGCCTGAGGTTATGTCGTAACCTAGATTTTTATTCAATTTCAGTCATCACTCATGTATTATAACGACAACAAAAAAGTATAATCTACCAATTACTTCACATTATCTTATTATTAACTGCTTATATTCATGTAGATACAAACAGTATATGTTTCTAAGAAATTTATTTCCCTTTTATTCTGTTTCTTATAGTCATTGTATATTTAATGTCGCAGTTTCAAAGTTTCTTGTTTAAGATTTATCAATCAGTACAATGTATATCTTATCCGTTCTTTTTAAATCAGCATTTTTGTTCCATTGGGTATCGTAGACAGTGGAGTACACATGTTTATACTAAGGTTGAGTAAGTTTCTCTAATAAATATATTTAATCACTGTGATAATAAATAATTTTTTAAAGAGGCTTGGCAATCTGATCGTCTATCACAAACACAAATGAGAGCTTTGAATAATATGAGTTTTGAACGTTTTATTTTCGACGAACAATGTCAAATTGGAGGATTCGGTATTTTCATTGATTTATCAGGAACAACAACTAAACAAGTCAGTGAATGGACTGATCCAAGAACAGCGAAAAGTTCAATGAAATTATTACAGGTAAATGAATCTCAAAAAAGGAGAAGTAATCGATTATTTTTATGATAATGTTTTTAATAAAATATATAAAAAGATATAAACCCCACTCCTCACATCATCGAATTCGATTAGCTTAAAAATAGTAATAATTGTAATCATATGCAGACTGCTGATTAGTTTCATGGTTGAAATTCCCTGTAAAACGAAGAGAGTTAAGATTAAAATAATAAATCATTGATTACATTCGATAAAAGTCGCGTAACACCACAGGCTGACTAAATCTACTAATATAGATTGTTAGTTTAAAACTATTTCGATAAAAGAGAAAACTAAAGGTTCTGGGTTTGAGTACTCATGTATGTGCATTGATAAGGTGTCTCAAACTAATATAAACTATTTAATGGTTGAATTCATGAGTCGACTTAAGCTAGACCACCATTGAAAACCTGGAAGCACTGGACGGTCGTTCCTTCCTAGTATACGACTCCTCAGAAGTGCACATCCACTATCCTACACGTGGGACTCGAATCCAGGACCTTTGGTCTAGCGCGCGAACACTTAACCTCTAGACCACTGAGCCGATACCCAACGGTGTAAATGTCTAACTTTAACCGATCCACTATATTGTGCGACCGTCCACTATTGTCTTCAGTAAGTAACTGCCTCACAACAGACACAGTTGGACTTCACTGGTTATGGCATCTCACTAGAAATTCAGGAAATCCATCTTAAAGCCAGTCGTTAATGAGCACATGATGGTCATTTTCAGAATGGGGTGGTGGAAACTATAGTAATTTAATAGTTGTCCACTTCTCAGTGATTTTAAAATTTTCTTGATAGCTGTAACTTTAATCTTCTCTGAGATGGTTAATTCATGTCTACCATTCGTAAAGGGGACTAAAAGAGGTTAAAAACAACTCAGTAGTAAGGCATCTGACCATGAAGCTGAAGGGAGCATCGTTTCCTTAAGTTCGTAGATGTTATGTTCTGATCAATAGTAACCATTACGAAACCCTAGGCTTCTTGCCAAATTCCTTCGAAGAACTTAAAATCCAAACATATCGCAAGCAATTTCACTTAAACTAGTGGCCAAACTGCAAACTTATTGATAGAATTTAATCAATATAAAGGATTAGACAAACAACGTTGATTGCCACTAAGTTCTGAACCAGCATGCCTAATTATCTTTTTGTTTCGTTTAACTTTCTACACTATCGCCGCAGTAACATCGTTGGATTTAATCGACTGATATAAAGCCTCATTAACTAACTATTCATTGCTAATAGTTGCAACATGATTATTTTGCGTAATGAAAGACTATATCAGTCAGTAGTGTTTTAACGTAGCCTATAAGCTATATGTCAGAGATTCTCATTTAACTCCTCGTTATGTATTAGATGCAACTTACAATATTTACAAGCTGATTTTCAGTAATGGGTTACGTAAACTGTTGAATTTCACTGAACAATCATCTTCCACAGTGTTCGGTGAGAACCTTCCTCACATCCGACAGGGATTGACTCCACTACTTACGGCTTCTCATCAAAACTCCGGAAATTTCCTCTCAAAGCTAGTAACTAGTTACCATATAATAATTTTCTGTATAGGGCTGTGGAAATCATTCAATTTCACTGAATTCTTTAACCGATTTAAGTTAATCCACCAATGAAAACCTGTAAACACTAGGTTTGCGGAATCATAGATACTCATACTAATACTAGAACGAAATGGCCGTTCAGTACTTCCAGATTTTCATTGATGATCTAACTTGAATCGATTCATAATTTCAATGAAATTGACAATTTATAATTTTCGCTTTTATCAACACAAGTTAATCATATAAATAATGAATTATTTCTGCTTGATTTTTATTTATTCTAGGAAGCTACTCCTGGACGTACTAAACATCTTATATTTTATAAAGAATCGAAAGCATTCGATATAGGTTTCAAAATTTTTGAATTTTGGTTAAGTGATAAAATGCGACAACGAGCAAGTTATATTCTTCTTAATATTTTGCATTTTTTTCTTGATATCCTCCTTTATTCTGTTCTTCCTTCAATTAAGTGTACTGTAATGATTATAATTCAATGTAGTGTATTGATTAACCAAAAAGTATCATACGGTTAACTGAATAATTGATACAAGTCTGACTGTTTTTAGCGCCAGCTCGATGAATTCACTGGTTACAGCTTCTGTAGTTCACTAGTAATATGTAACAAGATAAAACGTTTATGCAATTTTTCTTTAATTTTAAAATATTCTTTATTGTAATCTGGCAATGTATTGGTTGATAATTTTATGTTATAACAGTGAATGGCCTTGAGAAGAGTTTCCGAACATCAAACATGTCGTTGGTAAAACAGATATTACATATGGTACTAACAGAGAGTTAAACCTCATCATCGCTTAGTGTAATTGAAAATTTGGACTAAAAGATATTAACATAATGTTATAAGAGTATCATGCCTATTTGAGACTTGGAGGTTTTGTATATAATGATATAATACATAATGACATTTAAATTAACATCGAATAGTTTGGAAGAAAGATCATTAATAATATTCAAAGTAATTATTAAATCAAGAAGTTGCTATGTTGCATAATATATGGAAAGAGAAGGAACGAAATTTATAATGGATAGTCAATAGAATAGTAATTACGTAAGAATCAAGAGATGAATGTTGAGAAATTATAAAGTCTAAAAAAAACACAACAACAACAAAAACAAAATTTAAAATTAAAATTAAAAAAAAAACAAAATGTGAGAAGTATGGAAAATAGCTCTGTTGAAGGGAATGTTATACAGATGGCCAAGGCAGCGAAAGTGGTTGAACAAATTTCTTTTAAATGCAAAGGTCAGGTTTGTGAACATGGATTGCGATGGCTTCCGCAATGTGCAAAAGGCGTACTCGTAAACCATGTGGTAAATTTGATGGGATATGGTAGATAACCTTGAAAGCTTTATTCAATTCAACTTGGTGACCTGTGTCAACCAAATGAGCGAGAATAGAACTTTTAATCACTTTTACCTGTCCTTTATTTAGCCTTTCTTTCTTCCAAACTACTCGATGTTAATTTAAATGTCATTATGTGATTATTACGTAACGTATCTACTCAATGAGTATTATATCCTTATTGTAAATCATATATATATATATATATATATATATTAGTGTAGAGCCATGATGAAAAACTAATTGAAAAGAAATTTCTTCGCTCAATTCGTTCCTTCTGTATTTATCAAATGTCCAAATGGGGATTTTCGCTGTAAGAGTTTTATTGGTACAGAAGTTGGTGACATCGGTATACCATTTAAATGTTGATTCTGTCTTTTGGAAAAAATTACATTTCGACTCTACCGAACTCTGTGTTAAATAATCCATTATTTTGGAACGAATTAGTCAGATTTTATGTATAATAGTTTTAATAAGTACTTTTGATGGAAATTCTCATATTTACTAGAACAATTCATATTATCTTTGATTCATGTTAGAATGAAAAGACAGAACGAAGACATTTTTTCCAATTGAATGTAACGGAGAAGAGGGATCAAGATTTTGAGTTGATAAGGAAATTTCGGAGGTTCAGGATCACGAGCAACTAAAAGATCAAAAATTATGTCAAAAGAGAAGACAATTAAAATAAATACACAAACAATAACAGGATAGGGGTCGACAGTAATCTATTGAAATTAAGGTTGACTAAACAAGTCGAGAATTTTAAGTATTAACTAGCACAATAACATAGTTTCCGACCTTAGGGTTCTAATGAATAAAAGAATTATTAAATTAAATGTATTTCATCTGATAACATCTTTCACTATCGTATCTACACACAATTTTAATACGACTAGATTATAAGAATTAAAGATGACACGGAAAAAGCTTTCAAAAAGGTACCTGGTTTGAAACAAATCATGCCGGAAGAATATGGAGGGTGTAATGGTCCAGTTAAGGATTTAATCGGTAAGTAAAGTTACCATTTTTTTCTTTAGTCTACCGTTGTTTAAACTTTATAACTTCAAGCAAAATTACATCTGAATAAAACACGACAAATTTAACATTAATTACTTGTAAACTGTGTTTTTCTACTGAATACACTTTTATTATGTAAGTAGATATTGAGGTTTTTGATTGAGCGCATGAATCGATTGATGTTAGATCACCGTGGAAAACCTGGAAGCACCAGACGACCGTTCGGTCCTAGTATGGGACTCTTCAGAAGTGCGCACTCACGACTCTGTGGGCGGGGTTTGAACCCAGGACCTTCTGTCTCGCATGCGAACGTTTAATCTTTAGACCACTGATCCGGCATCCAACGATGATAATTTCTAAATTCAACCAATCCATTGTATGAATTAAATACCTCTCTCTACCTGACACTGATTAGCTCCAGTGCTTCCAGGTTTCCAATGGTGATCCAACATTGATCGATTCGTGATCTCAATCAAAAGCTTAACAATCTCTGCAACCCCATACTGATAGATATTGAGGTAGTGAAAAGTATTTGTTTCCACATCGAATTCAAATTATGCTAAATTCATTGATCACAGTGGTTCAATTGTCCATCTGATTTTTATACTCATAATCCATCTTCTATAACTTCAGAGAACTACTCATTTATCTGCCGTATAACTGATTTTGTTTCTCATTATTATGTACAAATGATTGTTTGTGAGTTAATCTATTCACATAAAATATAAAAATTTGCATCTTTCTAAATGAAGGTGGATATTTAGTTTAAAATAGTTTCAGTCAAGTTTGATAAGATTTTACGCATACTTAACCACAGTCTATCGTGCTATGCACCGATGGCTAGCATAAAACTATGATGAAAGGACTGGACTAGTCAAATCAAAAGATTAACTACTTGTTGGGAAGGAGTGAGAAAATGTAGATTTCTTGATCAAGATTAGCTTGATAGTTACGTTATGTATCGATATGGCTGTTAACAGTTCGAACTAGATTATCCTGGTTTAGTTAATTTATTATCAATGATTCTATTATTATATTCATAACCTCGTTTTTCGCCTGTAAAATTCACTTTTCTGATGCAAACAAAATGCATAATCTGAAATGATAGCATCTCATAGTACAACATTTTGATTAGACCATACACAAAAGCAGTCATCAGTCCTGTAAACAAAGAATAGTATTTGGTATACAGTGTAAGAAGGAGATAGGTACGCTAAGAAAATGGTGTAGTTACAATGTTGCAAGTGTTCTGAATGAAAGTTGTTTTGTAGGGTTTATCAGTTAAAAACTAACATTTTCTTAGTAGGCAAATTATCACGTTATGTTTGAGAATGAAAATTTCAGCGAAGGAAAATATAAGTTCCGTTTCAGGGTACTTATAAGTATCTATTAGTAGAAAAGTGATAACGATAGATTTCTAAATTCAAAAACTGAACAATATAACATCATATTCAAAGTGGAGTGTAATTTCACTCAAAATTCCCTGCACATTTTGTTGCTGAATACTTACTGAAGGCTATCAGGAAGAAGTAAGTATATGACCCATTAATTCATTATATTGTTTTTCAATGCCATTCAATCTACTGACGCTGTAAATTGTATACATGTATTTTGTTATTGACTAATTAATATAAACTACTACTCATATTAACATATTGAAATTTGACTATTGGACAGATAAGTGATTGATATATAATTCAATGCAACTTTAATACAGTTTCTGAACGACTGATTGAATTAATGATTGAGGCTGTAGTGGATTTGTTTTTGATAGATAGATAATCTTGGTATGTCGTGTCAATCTACATTGGAAACCGAATCTTTATCATCATCTTATATTGTTTTTCTTCTATTTCTCACTTTTTTTAAAGCTTTAGATAAAAAAAACTTCAAGACATTTTACTCACAGACATATTGCCTAAGTGATATAAAAGTCGATGATTCTAAACGTCCACTTTCCGCTCAGAATTACATGCGAGAATATAAAGATATTGAAGGTACTACAATGGGCAATAAAGGCACATTTATTTCACTTAATCCTGATGATGAATGATCTACAATTGTTGATTAGTTAACATTGAACAAAAGACAATGATATTTGCCATTTCTCTTTTGTTTACTTCATTTATTTTCTTTAAACTTTATCGAACTATTCTAATTCTCTATAGAGAAGAATGACTTAAATTGAATTTCTTATAATTTTAAAATACCATTGGCTTCAAAACAGACTGACATTATTGGACTACAGTTGTCTTAATATCTCAGAAACGTTCATAAACATTAAACACAAGTAACGATTTGTACATGTCTTAATGATTATCTATTTCTACCTAATTATTGACATCTTCTGTAAAACATATTATTAAAGTTGGAAAAATGAAGTTTATATGCATCTTGAACCATTTTACATTTCGATCTGTTCAAGTTAAACTATTACGTGATTTTTTAGGCACATAGTTCCCTTTTATTATTTTAAAGAGAGCAAGAACAAAGGTTGGTGCAGAATAATATGAATTCATTTTATTTCGTTAGGTTCTCACCAGCTGCTTACAACCTAAAATATTTGAAATTCAACGTTATTACAGATATTGACATATTTATACATCAGAGGGTGATGAAGGATGAATATAAGTAACATGATATAGCAAAGATTCCGTTAGAGTTAATGAGGTTATAAAATTTTTGTTTAGAATATATAGAGTTTGGGAGGGAAGGTTTCATAACATAGAAATAGTGATTAGAACACATGGAATTAAAACACATTAGGTAATTATGTAATGAAGTAACTGAAAATAGATTAATATTAATAAAAAGAGATATGAATTGAAATTGGTCAGTTATGAGTGATGCAACTATAAAATTCAGAAAGAGTTGGAATGACGTCATAAATAAAGGGGAGGCAATGTTATCAGGGCAAAGAAAAATTTATTACTGTTTCTTTTTGTATACAAAGATCTGGCTTTAAACGTTTGATTGCTATCGCTTCGGCAAATTTCAAAAGGTTCGAATTTGATTGTTAGTTGATCACCCTGAAGGACTTCAGTATATCGACTTCGTGTCCTGTGTCAAGGAGATGTCTTGCGATAGCGCTGCTGAATGCTTTTAGTTCGTTTGATCTCAAACTCTTCGGAATATGTTCTTTCTCTTCTACCAATGTAACTGTTTTGGCAGATACATGTAAATTAGTATACACAGTTGGTGGTAACATGAAAGGGATACCTGTCGACCTTTGATTGTGTCAAAGAACATGTTGTTTTGGACAGGACAATCAATTTAGCTGCTGGATATGTTTTTGTCAATGCAGTGTTTAGTCACATATTGATTGACCCTGTGACATTATCACCTTTGAATTTGAGTTGAATAAAAACAGGTTTTTTTTTACTGTGGTTTCTTTGGGTATTTTATCTTCACGTTTTCCGTATTTCTCAACAAATTTCAACGGGTATCCGTTATTTCTTAAACACCTTTTAACATTCATAACTTCCTCTTCTATTGTATCGGCAGTACATATTCTTCCTGTTCTGTGAAACAATATTTTGACAAGCGCCTTCTTTTTGATTGGACAAAAGCTGTTGAAATTGAGATAAATCTTATTCCATATGTCATTCTTGAACTGTACCGTCCTTTCTTCGTTTCATCGCGATATCGAGAAAATGGAACTTGTTTTCTTTTTGATGTTCCATAGTGAAATGAATATTTGAACGAGCTTCATTGAAAAATTTAGCAGATTTGTTGCATGTTGTTGATTATTACATACGATGAAGGTATCATCAACATACCTCGAATAATACATCATTTCAGCAATCGCTCCTTTGAGTTTGATTCTTTCGAGGTTAGCCATGAAAATGTCTGCTAGGAGAGGGCCTAACGGACTTCTCATTGCTACACCATCGGTTTGTCGGTATATAGTATTGTTGAATTGGAACTGAACATCTTTTGTACACATGAGTAATAGTCGTTTGAATTCTGTTGTTGATAGAGGTAGGATGTCAGGATGCTGACAAATTATGTCTATGATTTCATGAAGTGGTATTTTTTGTAAACAATGATGTCACATCAAAAGAAACCATAAACTTACCAGTAATATTTATGTGGTTCATACTACCAGCAAATACAAATCGATCCTTTAGTGTATAGGTGGCTAATCGTTGACGAACTGGTTCTAATTTATCTGCCAGCCATCGTGCAAATTTGTGGTATGGTGAATTGACAATTGACAGAATAGATCTAAGAGAATTATCTTGTTTATGTATTTTCGGTAAACCATACCTGTGGGGCAAACGAGACCCATGAGGTCGTAGGTTATTGTAAGTGGAATTATCGATCATTGATAAGTATTGTAATTCGAACGCTTATTTCGTTTCCTAAGCTATTCTTGAGACCCCCAAGCTAGAACTATCCAGCAACCTGAACACGAGAGAGGAGGCGCAAAGTATGCGAAAAGTACTATACTCCGATGTTCATTTTTGTACAGAAAAACACGGGTATTTATAGATGTTAACATTTGTTAAATCAACATCATATTTTGGCCAATCCGCTAAAAGACATATTATGCTACTGACCAATAGTAGCACGCCACGTTGGTATTCTAGAAGCTCCATCATGCTCTGGTTGGCTAAGACTCTTCGGTCCTTCAGGGCCTCCGGAGGCTCTGATATTGCTCAAGGAAAAAAGGAACGTATGACTGCATGTAGAAATTTTACTATTCAACAAACTCCGATTTCATCACCCATTTACCACTGATATACAACTGATTTAAACGACATCGAAGTGTACGATACATGTATATGACCGTAAATATCTAGCCAGTAGATAAATTTGAATGCGTTGGACTGGCATTAGTTAAAATTAATGAATCATTAATACGATGGAAGCATACAGCGTGGAAAACCAATAGAATGACTGCTTTAAACAATAAATATAGTTAATTACTGAGTAATAAGTTTTTCTCCTTCACATTACTATCCAAATCATTCTTTAACGTTGAATATATCCCAGCGTCAGAAAATCGGTTCCTGAATGTTGCGTTGTTCACGATGACTAGTCAATGTTAGGAATTGTAACGATTATTACTCCATTAACTTCGTGAGTTCAGCACAGCTTAGTTTGTTTATCACCTCTTATCTCTGTAATTTAGCAATCTTTTGCGCCAAACAGATAATCGATCTAGTAAGATTCAACCTTCTCTCCGAGCGTACTAAGAAAACAAGATAGCCGCACCATGAAGTTACAGTTGGATGGGGTTTGGGGGTGCATAAGTCGAACGGCTACACTATTCCAGTGGACTCAGATGATTTGAGACTCTTTGTCGAAAAATATGATAAAGCACTTATTATTGATCACAAGTTTAAAATCCACAAAGCTGCACTTAGAGCAAATAAAGCGGCCCGCATTTAACTTAACCGGAAATTTTTATGCCACCTTCCATTCATGTAGCATGTTAGTGTGTTTCTGTTATATCCCAATGAGAATAATGAATGGTAGCTTTCGGGATCCATTTGTGGATCAATACTATACGTATATTTTTATCCTATAATTGTTAATTAACTAAACTATGCATATTCGTGTTCCTATTATCATAAGCTTCATTTTTATCCATGGACTATTATTATACGATATACCATTCTTGAGTTATGACCTGTCTATTAACTACTACCTCCCGTTATTCCTGACATAGAATGCGCAAACAGTGAATTGTCCAGCTCAGAAAAAGACGACGCCCTTTTAAATGTTTATGAAATTATCTCAGTAACCGCTCACGAAGAAAGGGAAAATAAATCCAGCAGTACAATGAATGCAACTGTACCAAATGGAGTTCATCATTCTGAGGTAGAAGTTTCTGATGGATCTAATTATCGGAGTCCGCTTGTTTTACAAGGTATGAGTTATCTTAATGATTCACATGTTCGTGATAAAAATTTTCATAAAAATCAGGAAAATATGTCAGATGCATCACATGAAAACCAAGAACCTAATGCAGATTTGATGGATGCTAATTATCATAGTGACCCACTATCTACTAATGAGATTCTCAATAAATCTGGGGAAGCTGTTTCAGAAGAACCAAACTTTGATGACCTCATATCAAGCGTCGTTGATCCTCACCATTTAGTCACTTTTCGTTGATCCTCTGTTGAATGTGACAAATATGTTTTAAATAAAGTCAAATTAATTGTAACTTTAAAAAATGAAGATCCAACATTATTTCGTGAGGAAGAATAAACTGGGAAAATTTAAAATCCGGATATCAACTCAAAATCTTCAAAAAAATCTCCTCCGTTTTCTAGATGGCAGCCAGCGGAAACGCCTAAGAAACCCAATCAAAAGCTAAATCTGTTTCTAGCAGGGGGAACAAAAGCCTGTCCACCCAAGTCGTCGATAACCATCCTGAGCTCATAGTGTGTTTGACGCGACTGTTGTTAATAAGTGAGTACAGGTTGAGAGCAAGAAACGACATAGTGTTATTGAAGAAAAGCAACCCTTTCCGAAATAGCTCAAAATTAAAAACTGACCGAAGTCCGCCTGTAGCTCTTCCAGAGTTACTGCTAGTCCCAAGCCCAGGTAAAGGAGGAGGGTCGGGCATGGGATTAGCGAGTATATTCAGTCAAAAACTAGCTCGCCAAAGAACGCTAACCAAGAAAAATAATACGAACCATTTAAACTCCAATCTCGGTGTTAGAAGGTCTTCATTGAGAAAAACTACGAAGCCTTATGAAGAAAGCCGAGTTCCTTCGGAAGTCACGAGGCCGACACCTCTTCTAACAACCAAAGCAACAACTTTTATAGGTATATGGAACGTCCAGCCAAATAGCAACGTAAATGAGAAGATACAAATTGGCAGTACTGGAAATCAGTGAAACCCATTGGACCCAAGCTGGAAAGTAAAGGCTAGACACGGAAGAGATGCTGTTATACTTCGGTCAGGAATCCGCTCTTATGCTGTCCAAAGTGGCGTGAAATGCACTTGTAGGATGGGAATCTCATGGATCCAGAATCATTAAAGCATCATTCAAAACAAAGCAGGAGGGAATTACAGTGAATGCATCCACTAATGATAGCAATGACGATGATAAAGATCAGTTCTACGATAAGTTGCAATTAACAACAGCCAAACACGAGCAGAGAAAGTCAAGGCACAAGCTGAGTACACAGAAACAAACATGCAAGTAACGAAGAGCATTAAAGCTGGCAAGCAGAAATACGCGAAAGAACTAGCAACAACGGAGGAAAAAGCTGCAGAAAAAAAGAAATGCAAAACAGCCTTATGATACAACGAAGAAACTAGCAGGGAGATATAGTAAAACAGAGAGACTGATCCTGGATTGAGAGGGCAGGTCAATCACTGAAATTAAAGAACAGAGGAACAGATGGGTAGAGTACTTCGAGGAACTATTAAATAGACCAGACATACAAGTACCTACAAACATGCTTCATTTTCTATTCAAGAAGACTTGGGGGAAGAGAGAAAGCAGCAGGACCTGACAATATACCAGCTGAAGCGCTGAAGCCAGATATTGAAGTAAATGCAAACATGCTTCATCTTCTATTCAAGAAGATTTGGGAGGAGGAACAAGTGCCGATCGATTGGAAAGAACGACACCTCATCAAGATCCCAAAGAAAGGAGATCTGAGCAAGTGTGAAAACTACAGAGGCATTACACTACTGTCAATGCCAGGAAAAGTCTTCAATAGAGTGTTACTGAACAGGATGAAAGACGCAGTAGACGTTCAACTTCGAGATCAACAAGCTGGATTCCGTAAGGACCGGTCGTGCACAGACCAGATTGCGACACTACGGATCATCGTCGAACAATCAATTGAGTGGAACTCGTAACTCTACATCAACTTCATTGATTATGAAAAGGCGTTTGACAGTGTAGACAGGATTTCCTCAGAAAATCGTCAATATTATCCGGAACTCGTACGACGGATTACAGTGCAAAGTAGTGCATGGAGGACAGCTGACAGATGAATTCCAAGTAAGGACTGGAGTCATACAAGACTGTCTACTCTTTCCCTTCCTCTTTCTTCTGGTTGTCGGCTAGATTAACTTAGGAGATGACCCAGCTCTTCTATCCTATGCACACGAACAAATGCAGATGAAGACAACTAGTGTAGCAGCAGCCTCTTCATCAGTAGGCCTCAACAAACAAAAGGGGAAAATCAAGAGCCTGAGATACAACATGGAGAAAACCAAGTAACCCAACCACACTTGATGGCGAAACTCTGGAAGATGCGGAATCCTTCACATACCTGGGAAGCATCGTCGATAAACAAGGAGGTTCAGATGCAGACGTAAAGACGAGGATCGGTAAAGCAAGGAAAACATTCCTTCAATTGAAGACAATTTGGAACTCAAAACAACTTTCAACCAATATCAAAGTCACAATCTTCAATACGAACGTCAAGGCAGTTCTACTGTACGGAGCTGAAACCTGGAGAACGACAACGACCACCATCAAGAATGTACAAGTATTTATCAATAGCTGCCTACGCAAGACACTCAACATCCATTTGCCGGATACCATCAGCAACAGCCTTTTGTGGGAGAGAACCAACCAGCTTCCAGCTGAAGAGGAAATTAGGAAAAGACGATGGAAATGGATAAGACATACATTACGCAAATCATCAAACTGCATTACGAGGCAAGCGCTAACTTTGACTCTTGAAGGGAAGCGGAAAAGAGGAAGGCCAAAGAACACATTACGTCGGGAAATAGAAGCGGATATGAAAAAGATGAATAACAACTGGAAAGATCTGGAAAGGATTACTTGGGACAGGGTTTGATGAGTAGTGCTGATGAGCTACCTATGCCCCTCCACGAGAAGTTGCAGGCAGTGATGATGGTTCAGGTCAATTATTTTTCATACAATTTAGGAGAGATAAGGCTCAGAACCTAAAACTCGTTTTGAACATGATGTTGAGTTGATCCAAGATCCACTAAATCAGTTAATGCCTCAGGATATCTCTAGAGTCATCTTGCTAAAGGTGTATAGACTAGGTAGCCAAACGATCTTGAGACAAAATCATATCAGACTGCTTAATGCATTATTTATATCTCCCAATCAACGGATCTTAATACTGCAGAATGGAAACACACTAAAGGCGTCAGGAGTTTTTGTTCGTAAGGAGTTGCCACTCGTAAACGGTGTTAAAAGACGAGAGGCCGAAAAAGGACTGAAACTTGGGTTAGATGCTAACCAAAAAGACCTATATTTATGGGTTGTGAGGCCTCGACTGGGAATAATGTCGAAGTAAGAGCACACAGATTTGGGAAGCGCAAAGGGGAGTAACTTTATGCATTAGGATCACTATCCCATTTGTCATTATAGACAGTTTATCCCTTGAGAGTGAGACGTGTAAATTAGCTAGTTGCCGCTTGAAATGCAAAGGAAAAATGATGCTGATTGATTTGGTCTACCGTAATGCGAGCTGTGAGGTAAATGTGGTCTTGGTAAACGGTCTCAATACTCGGTCAAAAAGTGGTCGATGTCTAATCCTAGAATACTTTAATACACCCGCAGTAGGCTTGAAAAATTTGAGCACTGAGTTGTCAGAAAATACCTCCGAACGGGAACTAGTTGATGCAGTTATCTCATGTGCCCTAGTGAAACATACGAAAGAAGCGCCTAGGTAAGACCCGAACTTTGAACCCACCCTACTAGATCTTATATTGACCCATTATGAGGATTACGTTACAAACCTCGATTACATTCCACTCTTAGTTACATGTGATCACACAGTTCGAATCTTCGATTTCCACACAGTTGTCAAAGACGGACAGGCGTCGGCATAATCCAGACCTAACGTCCTAAAAGAAAATATAGAGGATATTATGTGATCAGCATCGTCAGTAGATTAAACGACAGCGTCGTAGAACCAGTTAAAACGGCTTGGGATGAATTTCGAAATTTGTACTTAAAAGTTACTGCACCCCACATCACTTGGACAACACCATGAGGTCCGAGAAACTCTCCATCATGGTTCAGTATGGAGGTTCTCACCCTTCTGTGTAGGAGGAGAAGGTGAGACAAAATCTCAATGTCGGGAAGCCAAGAATACTTTCGCCTCGAGTTTTGAAGGTTGTACTTAGAAAAAATTGTTAAGGAATCTACAGAATGCCTAAACGCTAGCATTCGTATATAGACCAAATAACCAAGAGAAGAAATAATATTCCAGCACTGTGGGGAGACAGTAAAGCTTCATCTTTAGTGGAGAACGACCATGATAAAACTCAAGTACTCTCAAACTACTTTAGCAATGTATATATCGTAGGAACACACCGCTAGTTCATACAAATTCCCTCACACAAACACTGGAGAATGTGGCGATTAAAGAACTCGATGTCTTTGTCTGCTACATAAGCTTGATATAAGCAAATCCACGGGACCCAATGAAATGTATCCTAGGTTACTGAAGGAACTAACTAATTTCGTTAGGAACCCCTTGTCATATGCTTTAATCTATCTGCAACACAGGGTCGATTACCAAAAGACTGGAAGAACGCCATAGTAAGTCCTGTCTTTAAAATAGGTAGAAACATATATATTTGAGAACTACAGGCCAGTTAGCCCGACCAGCGTGGTCGTTTAAATTCTAGAAAGGATTATTTGGAAGGGGCTGTTTACCTATCTCGAAGAAAACCGGATTCTTTCTAAAAAGTATCACAGAATACATTATTCCTATCTCATTGACTTATTAGTAGCTCGTGAAGGTTGGTGCGCTCTGAAAGAACAAAATTTACCTATATAAGTTGAATTAACTGAGCAAACACCACTGCCAGGACTAACACAAGTCATCTAGCCTTCTGTCTTTTCCAAACTGAAACTAATTATTCATACAGTGTGCATTTTAGTCCCGATAAATCAGGTAAAAAGCTTAAAATTCACCAAAAATAAATCAAATTTTTATCAAATAAATCATTAATATGTCTGTTATCTCTGCTAAAGACCAAATTGCTGAATATTATAGTCGGTGAAAGTAGAAATTGCTTTGTTTGACTGCACCACTACAGGGTCGTGCTTATGGACATCAAGGTTAACATCGATGGAGTACTCAGAGAAGTTTGTGGGATTAATGAAGGAACAACATGTGAAGAAGTGATTTTCAAGCTTGCACAGATTGCTAGTTTGCCTGGATTCTATACTCTGGTTGCCAGCTGCAGAGATAAAGAAATTACACTATCTCCAGAGGAAAAAATTATAAATTTCATTAAAGAGTATGATAATTTATCTAGTTAAAGACTAATTGTCATGTAAAACACAAATGAGTTACCCTTGGTACTGATTTTGACTTTAGTTTTATATGTGTTTGATGTAGCTTATCCGGGTTTTCATCAATAGTTCTTCTAAATGAGCCTAGTAATGTGCTCAATAACCTCTAAATGGGCTTACAAAAGATATTACTGTTTTTCCTAACAGTAATATTTCTTGTGAACTTAAAAATTTATCAGGAAGTAAACTTGTTTATCTTTTGCATCACTTTAGAAAACAAGGTAGTAAGTTTTAAATATATTACTGTCATCTTATAGAAAAGAATGGTGAATTAAGAGTCCCTATACCTATCAAACCTAGGTTCTATAGATATTATATGGAAACATGTGGGGTGGATTATTGTAAACAGAACCGAAGGAATACTTTCATAATGCTAAGAGCAAAAGCTTTCCGGATAAATCCGTCAGGAGGTTGTTATGTTCTTCGAACAAACCATTTTTCCAAAAACATTCCGTCAAATCTCCCGTAGTGGAACTGAACTTTTTAAGGAATTCCCTCTAGAAGAACAAAACTGGATACTTCCACTCATGTAACTTAGTTGTTTGAAATGCATTACTTGGATTGTTAGAAATGCACGGAAGTTCAATCATAAATTACCCCTTTTAGTTGCTTGTTCCACCAACTATTAGACTTCACTAACTTGTATTTGATAGAACGGAAAAGCTGCGACATAGACCAGAGGTTGGTCACTTCATGCCTCTATGCATTCATTAACTCAACTAATCAACCCTCGAACAGCAGTCATAATTCGTATCCTGGTGTATGGAATTATTTCAGTTTTTCAAGATGCATTCGTCTAACGATTACTGAGACACAGTGGAACCTAATATCGTAAGAGGAATGTAAGATAATGAAAGTCATTGGAGTAGAAATTTACAACAGATTGTATTGAGTGCGTGCCATTGAATATAAATAGAAGTTGGTTGCCAAGACCTCCCAAGTTTGCATCAAACACATATTCACCATTCGTCAGGTTTTAGAACACAGGCATGCTTATCGGCGTCCGACAATGGTGGTCTTTTTTTACCCAAAAGCAGCATTTGACTCTGTAGACCGCGAGATTCTGTGGCAGTGTCTGTCATTGAAGTACATAAACCACCTGCTTCGGTCGGGGCACCCAAACAGTATCACAGCCCACACACAAATAAAATGGAAATTTGTGTGGCGCATATATATTTGGTAAAATTCAGTAAAAAATGTTGTTTACCAGGGGGACTTACAAAAGTCTACCGTCATATGTACGTAATATCGAGGAAAATTTAGGCTCAACAGTGTGAACTGCAGAAAAGTTTGCTTCTGGAGGAAATTGCCGCGAAGAAAACCGACTTCTTGGCGGAAATGTAGCAATGTTTTCCTCTACGTGATGCCTTGAATATCTGTGAAGTCATCAATAAACGAATTTTTTTTGCATAGCACAACTGATTTAATGCTTTCTGCTATCAATGTAGTTCGGCTCCTGGTTGATCAGTACCGCTTTAATGAAGTCAAAGACTAGTTTTATACTCATATACAAAGTGGAATACCCTAGAAAAGTTTGGAAGCCTATTGTGACCGTGTTGTTTATGTTCTGCAAACTGAATTTGTATTTCGAACTGGCAAGTTAGTTCTGAAAAATACGAAGTTAGGGGCAGCCAAATAAAGGTGCAGGAACAGTCAATGAAATCATTGTTGGACTGAGCCATGTTGGTAAATACATAACATCTATTTAGGGTACAGACGATAAATGGTTGATATTAAATGAGATTGCATAGCATTAGTCGCAGTGGCTCAAATAAACTCATTCTTCATCTTTTGTAGGTATCCTTGGTAAACAACATTTTTTACTGAATTTTACCAGAAACTTGGGAGGTCTTGGCAACCAACTTCTATTTATATTCAATGGCACGCACTCAATACAATCTGTTGTAAATTTCTACTCCAATGACTTTCATTATCTTACATTCCTCTTACGATATTAGGTTCCACTGTGTCTCAGTAATCGTTAGACGAATGCATCTTGAAAAACTGAAATAATTCCATACACCAGGATACGAATTATGACTGCTGTTCGAGGGTTGATTAGTTGAGTTAATGGATGCATAGAGGTATGAAGTGACCAACCTCTGGTCTATGTCGCAGCTTTTCCGTTCTATCAAATACAAGTTAGTGAAGTCTAATAGTTGGTGGAACAAGCAACTAAAAGGGGTAATTTATGATTGAATTTCCGTGCATTTCTAACAATCCAAGTAATGCATTTCAAACAACTAAGTTACATGAGTGGAAGTATCCAGTTTTGTTCTTCTAGAGGGAATTCCTTAAAAAGTTCAGTTCCACTACGGGAGATTTGACGGAATATATTTTTGAAGATTGATATGCGCGATTAAATCAATTGTGTATTATTACAACTTTGGACTATGTCGAAAAAAAGTATTTGGTGATGATGGAGTGACTAGATGTCTGCTTGTCGACGACTGAGTTCCAAATACATAAAACCGTTTAACGAATACATGTCGTTATTATTAGTACTGACAAAATTTTCATTTTGTCAAACTTTACGACTGAACCACACTTGATCATATTATATCATAGCTTTATTTTTCAATTTCCTGCTTTTCGTAACCATCGTGTTGACAATTTCCAGTAGAACAAGTATGTTTGAATGAAAAACGTTTCTGATGCCTTGATTGTAAATCCTAAAATGTTCATCATTTAGTCCCATTCGATACAGTCCAAGATGCTTTTTCAAGAACCCCATCTGTAAGGGATTATTATATTGACACGAGATAATGAGTAGCTTTTTAATTGATAATGTACCCCGACAGATACATTTTTTGTGGTAGCTAGCTTACAGATATAGTAAATTAATTAAATCAAGTCACTGACCAAGTACTTTGGCATGAGCCGAAATTGAAGTGTGAGGTCTATTAAGACGACCCACTGATGGATTCTCGTAAACTCATCCCATCAGGCTCTGAACACCATGAAAAGCAAAAACAAATCAGATCTCGGTTAACCAAAAGTTTAAAGAACGACCGTGAGCAGTGGTGGGCAGCGAAAGCAAAAGAGATGGAAAAGGTGGCGGCTGTAGGTAACACAAGACAGCTCTGCAGACATAAAAGAAACTGGAATTAATAAGTCAAGTCTGTGACTCTCGGAAAGAGATGGCAATATTATCTGATGCCAGTCCAGACGTTTAGAACGATGGGCGGAACATTCTAAGGAGCAGTTCGGCTGACCTTCAGCTACTCTACAACTACCCATCATTCCCAGACAGTGTGAATGGAACATTAAAGTAGGTCCCCCGACTCTATCTGAAGTTCAAAAGGCTGTAGCTAATCTAAAACGAGGAAGTGCAGCTAGTCCAAATGGATCGGCTCCAAAGGTCTTTAAGGATGGTGGTCTAGTTTTAGCGATTAGATTAACTAATACTTTAACTCAAATCTGGGAGTTGGACGTAATCCCATTTGACTGGCCACAATCACTTATTGTCCCAATATATAAAAAAGGGTCAAATCATCCTGTGGCAACCATAGAGGGATTAGTTTGACTAACATAGCATCTAAAATACTATCCCCAATGATTGTCTGACGCTTAACAATAACTCGTGATCTGCAGACGCGAGAAAATCAAACTGGCTTCAGACCTGGTCGTGGCTGCATCAAACACATATTCACCATTCGTCAGGTTTTAGAACACAGGCATGCTTATCGGCGTCCGACAATGGTGGTCTTTTTTTACCCAAAAGCAGCATTTGACTCTGTAGACCGCGAGATTCTGTGGCAGTGTCTGTCATTGAAGTACATAAACCACCTGCTTCGGTCGGGGCACCCAAACAGTATCACAGCCCACACACAAATAAAATGGAAATTTGTGTGGCGCATATATATTTGGCGCCCTCTTGTACCTGAGCCATGTTGATAGATGCAGACTACTTTATTTATTGTTTTATTTATTTTAACACATAGGTATTGGTACAAGGAGGCACCAAATACATATGCGCCACACGAATCTCAATTGATTTGTGTAAGAGCTGTGATACTGCTCGGGTGCCCAAACCGAAGCAGGTGGTTTTCTTAGGGGGCCACACCTCGAGCCTTTGACCTGAACGTCTGACCCACAAGGCAGTGGAGCATCGTAAGGAGATGCAGTCCCATGGTAGCCGGTGACCAACGATTGGTTCATACGCCATTTGTTCCTTCAGGATACTGGAGCCCATGTGCACCATTGGTTTGGGGTCCGGTTAAAGCGCCGGACATTCGCTTTTCGTCCTCTCATTTTCGTAAACAACACCCCCGCTACGTGAAGGCAGTGAGTAGGACTTCCCTGGCAGGGGCTATGTACGCGTGACCATGTGAGAGCATTTCGAGAGGGAGAGCGGACTCTCCCCACTCTCGGCCGTACCAGGGCATTTGGGGGCCACGTGACTATAGTAACCAATGTTTGGAGACTGGGTGACATGGCTCAGAATCGATCACTATGGCGTAGATGTATACATTCTGTCTTCCTTTAAACTATGAGATTATAATCGCTTCATATCTTTCTTTCTACGAACTAATTCTTTATTCCTGTACTATGTCCTTATATGCAATCTTTCTTTATATATTATCACCACTCAGTTAACCACTTCTATGAATCCGGTGTTCATCTTGTTGTGCTAATGAGGTATGGCAACTTGGACTGCCGCCTATATGTGCCTGGTCCTACGTTGTAGCTGACTGACTTGGGCCCGGAACTTAGTTGTTGGCAGTCGAATACTTCAACCTCTTAATCACCGCTCCGCAACATCTGCGTTTACGCTTATAACTATGTGGCTATGTATTTAGTCCTATTTATAGATTGAAAAAGTCAGGAAGTTTCCTAGTGTTGCCTCTGATGTTAGTTTTATGAGTTAAATCAGAGTAATGTTCTGCTAGGCTTCATTTTATTCTATTTGCTTATGTATCTGGATTACAAGTTTCTCACGGTAATCAATATTGTCCTATGGTGTAGAAACACTAATTAGCTTCTGCCAATATTCACCACCACATAGGCGGAATATTTACAGATTTTTCATTGAATTGTTTTAGAAAAGAATAATCCAACAAATTTTCAGCTTTTTAACCACAAAGCTAACTAAAATCAGTATAACTCACTGGCCAAGTGCAGTTTCATGCACTGAGTTTTGAGTTACAGTTATTTTGTTTAAAGATTATAAGTGCTGTCGGACTTTTCAAAGCTAGAGCACGTTTTCAGCTAATGATGAGAGCCTGGAACAAGCATGATCCTATCCATTCACGTTCGGGTTCGTACGATAAACGTGATCAGTGGTTGAGCAATTTAGATGACATGGTTTGAAATCTTTCATAACAGTGCAGACTCACCCACTACTTATCTTCCCCTCGATCTTCAATTCCAGTATTTCTTCATACATATCTTTTCATTCGGCCTTTTTGTTACAAAGGTTTTCCGATTTGATTAGAAGTTTTCGAATGTCAAAATCGATTAATAGAATTCTAATCAATAGATTAACTTACTTTAGTGTGACCGAGCGATGACTACTCATGGGACCGTGCTATCAGAAACCAAAGACAAGACCATTAACCAGACGGATAGTTTTTTCATCTAATAAAATAGCACGCTTATATACAAAACATAAATAGGACCAAATGTCATAAGTGATCGGGTAGAATTGACTTATAGTTCAATCGTTCTCATATCAACAAGGGCCTGACTTTTAGGCTGAATCCTTAAAGTATCGTATTACTTTTCAAAACATAATCTCAATCTTTCTTAATGCCATCGCTACTATACTATTTCGATTTCTTTTGTTATTGCTATCTCGTCATGATAATGTAGTATGGCGAATTCAACCAGTACACAACCCTACTAGACTCTATGTTGATAATGATTGGCAGTCCACAGTCTATTTGACTCATCAAAGTCAATATTTTAAACCTCAGCCATTTTCTATAAAATTGATACTGGTGTATTTTGTGCCTCTTGTAATGCGGATTTGTTTTAAAAATTTTTAGAACTAAAGAAAATCCATCTAACATATGTTTTATTCTTCGTCGATTGGAGGCTGTATCTCCTTTCTCTCCGAAAATCCCCAAAGCATATCCTCCTGTTCCCAATCATCAGCCGACAAATCGTCCCCATCAACAGCCCTCTCGTAGTTCATCACGACGTTCTAATGTTCCAGTGACATCTGAAAATAAAGAATTATATTCCTCTACTTCATCATCCTTACCAATTCCAGTTCAGCAATATGCTAGCTCTGCAAAGCAATCAAGAATTTATCGTTGTGATCCTAGTCGTGAAGTAATTCATTCTACCTTAGTAACCAGTGCTACTGGTGAGGAAAAATCATATCACGGTACGCCATTCATGTTGAAATGAAACTTTACAAAACTTATATTTGTTTTACATAACTTTTTCGACAATCATATTTTATTTGAGGTCATGAATCGATTGATTTTAGACCACTATGGAAAACCTGGAAGCACCGGACGACCGTCTCGTTATAGTATGAGACTCCTTGACAGTGCACATGCAGGACTCGAACCCCGGACCTTCAATCTCGTGCACGAACGCTCAACCTCTAGACAATCGAGCCGGCATCCAACGGTGTTAATGTCTTACTTCAACCAATCCACGAAATGGCACGACCATCTTCCATTGTACTGAGGTAGATACCTGTCTCTTCCTGACATGGATTAGCTCCACTGGCCACGGCTTCTCACTAGAACTCCGAGAATTCCCTCACAAAGCTAGTCACTAGTGAGCACATGGTAATTATCAGTACGGGGAGTCCCATACTAGAACGAAATGGTTTTAAATGATGGTCTAACATCAATTGATTCATGATCTCGATCAAAACTTGATAATCTCCAAAACCCCATAGTGATAATCATATTTTAGTCTGCTACAAATTCGTATTTTACCACTTACAAATCCAATCAACTCACGGTAAATCTGTCCACTAAAGTGCATTTTTTAATATTAATTTTCAAATACAAATCCAGCCTAAGAAAAAAATTAAAAACGGTAGGACACTGAAATGAATACTGTTGAGTAATATGAGTGTTGGATTAGTAATTAAGGTAACTATGTTTCAGGTTCGAGTCACGCCTCAACTACTTCGGTTTAGAGCAATCAGGTAGTATCAATAACCCTCAAACTTACAGTGTGGTCCATGTTCAAATACCTGGCAAACGAATCTATCTGCTAGTGGGAGTGGATAAATATCTGCTTGTTTCCCAAAATATCTCTATAATTTATTTATTACCACTCATACTAATCTAAGTTATAGTCGATCAAAATGGTCAGTAACTACTCTTTGCATTTCTATCCGCGTACAATGGTCAAGTTCCATGTTCTTCTGTTTTCGCAGAACTGGATTGCTTCCTCCTGTATATTATGGCATAGTTTACAGGATTCACAAAATATCCTTTCATTATGTCCTCCTTTTCTACAAGTTTTATAAACTGAAGATATTGTCCTAGACATGTTTTCTCGAAGACTATATAGTCTTATAGCTGATGGTCACACATTTTTGTTTTAAACGTTACACTACTCATGAGTAATTTAAAATTATTAGCAAAATTGATTCCCAGTGCTATAGATATTCCAGTGAAGGATGTAGTGACTATCTAGCACGCAACAAAAGTTCTATGCCATTGGCATGGCATATGAAAGTATGGAAAGAGGTTTTTCAATTCCGGTCAAGCTCTCATTAGCTTATTTTCATGGCATTTTGGAGAATATTCGGCGTGTATGTTGAGAAGGTGAACAGATCTACATAAAAATAAATAACTGTTGGCTGACAATTCATCACAAGGATTATGAACCGTTTCTACACTGACATGCTTACTTCAGTAAGATGTAGTTTAATTTTAATATAGATAGAGCAATGGGAAGCCTTGGGAATTCATAAATTCAAACCCCCCTTTTTATGTGTATAGAAATGACGTCGTAATTTTGAATTCGCCCAATTAATATTTAAGCCATTTAATGTTCTAGAATGTTGCGGCTCCCTATTCATACTTTTTTATGTTAGTTTTCTCTTTCCTTTACTTACAATCATCGTTTTATTTTTATTTGACCTTCATCAACTCTTATAAATACAGATTGTTCGAAATGTATAAGAGAATATACATCACATTTTATATCACCTCTATCCTCTCAGTGCTCTGTCAAAATTTATAGAAGAAACTAATTCCTTTAAATTTTAATATGTAGTTTTGTGAACATATAAACTACTTTTTATGTATGCTTTCATTTATGTTTTGGAAGAGTAAGTAAAATAGTTGGATATTAGTCTCAGTGATCAAGGCGTCCGATTTTTAGCAACTAAATCCTGATTTCGAACTTTGCCACACATATTCCTGCTTAAATATGCAGGTAGTATAAATAGCCCTCACACTCAGTGTGGCTCACTCTCAAGTAGCTGGTGAGTAATTTAATACAATTTACATTAATTTATAAATAGTGATGTAAAAGAATTTTTACATTCAACTGACAAGTACAAAAATAGGATGAGATGTGCGTCCTGAATTTCACTCCTAATCACAATCCCAACTGACTAAACTTTCTTAAATGCTTAAAACAACATTTCAAATCCAAACCAATTAGCACACCAAGTTCAATGTGCATTAACCGTATATTGATAAAATTCATACCGTTTATTATACACTTCACTCTTGTTTCCGACATTCAAATTTATGGGAACAGATTAAGTTTGGAGTATGGTTTGTCAGTTTTTCTTTTGATTAAACATTTATAGTTTGTAAAGATCGATACTTCAAGAAAATTTATTGAATGAGTTTTTGTTTGCTTGTTCAAAAACAAAATTCCACTATCCACCCCTCAATCTTTTCAATTTATCTCCTAGCAATTATAATTCATGGCGATAAATTAAATATGCTTTTAATCATTTCATTAGTGAAAAACAGTTTATGCAGACATCATCTGACTGGTTAAAATGAATCAAACATTGGAAGCTGTATAATTTCTGGCTTTTAAAAAAATGGACTATCGAAAAGTGTAAGTAGGCCTCCCTCTATTTACACCGATCTCCTACAGCTGGAAACCATTATTGACCCTTAGATAATAAACTTCTGATTCAGCACTGAGTACATAAACCTGTACTTGATGAGGGAATTAATATTGGTATAATTTTTCACTAGTATACAAGTGTTTCTGGAGATTGTTCAATTTTATGGTTTACGTTACGGACTGAGCGTAGACAGCTATTGTTGACCAGAAAACGCTGAACAACTGTTTCGTCTTAGTATGGAACTCCTTAGAAGCTTGTATCCACGACTTCACCAGGAACCACAACTGGGATCTTCAGATCCAGCTGCAAGCGTTCAGATTTCAAACCATTGATTAGGCATCTTATGGTTTATACCTCTAGTTTCAATCAACTCACGATATTGCACACCAATCTCCTAGTTACCTGGAACTCAATATGGTCAAACCCTACTAGCTACGGTCTCACACTAGAACCCTGGGAATTCCCTCTTAAAATAATTTACTAACTAGTACATACATTTCCTAACTATATAAATATATAGTTATTTACGATTTGTGACTGACAACTGGACGTGATGTTTGCTGACCGATCAAGATTGATGACCATGTTTTTTTTTAGATGTCGATCAATATAATCAACTTAAAGATCAATTGGCATATCAAGAACAACAAGTTGAACTCAATCGAATACGGTTGCTTCGATTAGACAAGGGTAAACATTTTGATTAAATGTATTGTTTTTTTCAAATGGTATTTTCCAACAATAACTTGAGATCAACTTGGATGATGTATTCAGTGTGCATGTTTAAAGCCTTAAAGATAGACAAAGTGGTGTAATTGTAATTAATATAGGGATGAGTTATTCATAATCAAGAAAACAATTCTCATTCTTTCTTTTTGCATGAAACTCAAAAACGAATCAGTTTTGATTGAGATCATGAGTCGATCAACGTTAGAGCACCATTAGAGAACTAGAAGCACTAGACGGTCGTTTCGTCCTAATATGGGACTCCTCAGCAGTGCGTATCCGCGACCGTGCGCGCGAACACTTAGCCTCTAGACTACTGATCCGGCATTCAGCAGTGTTAATGCCTAACTTCAGCCAATCCACGAAATTGCACGACCATACCCGATACGGATTAGCTCCACTGGTCACGGATGAAGCTAGACATTAACATCGTCAGACGCCGGATCAATAGTCTAGAGATTAAGCGTTCGCGTGCAGGATCGTGTATGTGCACTCCGAGGACTTCCATACGAGAACGAATCGGTCGTCTAGTGCTTCCAGGTTTTCAATGATGGTCCAAGATTGATCGATTAATCATCTCAATCAAAACTCAACAATCTCCACAACCCTACACTGAATCAGTTTTATTTTGTGACACTTTAATATTTTTGAAATACTAATGTGATGATTGGTTGCCTAGATTGAATGGTTCTATGACGTACATGATTGTTACGCATTAATACTAGATAATCCACCCAAAACGATTAATCATCTCATACATTAAAGCAATCAAGAATATGTTATTACCAGCCTGAATAACACAAAGCGTATATATCATTAAGAATTATTATGTTTAAAAAAATATCTATCGCAAAATACACAATTATCTCTCCATATTAATTATCCAACCAAGGTTATTGAATATACATATCAACATCACATAAGAAAAAAAGCTGTAGGTGTCATGTGTGTGTGTGTGTATAGTGCTCAGAACATCTTAAGTTGTTAAGGTTTGGTGTGAGGGGATTCTTTTATATCACCGTAGAGTAAAAATGACAATGATAATAGTTAAACATGTGCACAGCGTTAGATACCAATTCAGTGGTGGTCTAGAGGTTAAGATGCACTGATGATCTGTTACATACTAGGACGAAACAGCCGATCAGTGCTTCCAGGTTTTCAATAATTGTATAGCTAAGACTACTTCGTGTTTTTAAGCTATGAAAATGTTCAACGTGTCAAATCTTTACTGTTTTCCATATAAATTAGACATATTACGAAAGCCAATTTAAATTGTCTACATCAAATTAACCATAGATCATTTTATTTAATGGTTCACCGAACAATATGCAATTGAGCTGATTAGGCAACAGTTCTAAAATTGCCAATGACTTTCACATTAAACTCCCTCACAAAATATAGTTTTATAAATCTTCCATCTGCTTAACTGTTTTGTGAATTAATTAAAATTTTTGTAGCCGATGATGAATTCATTTGTCTTGGTTGCTTGAATCTTCCCATTGATGTTTGGGACTGAAATTGATCAATCTCATCCTGTACGGATTGCCTCGATATCGCCTAGAGTCACAAGCATTTTAGGCAGAAATGGATGATATCTAGCAGTGGAATCCAAGACGTGCGTTTCGTCCTATTCGGGACTCATCAGCTGGATGCACCCGCATCCTAGAGTTGATGTTCACCATCAGACTCGCATCCAATTATCTGACGAACTTCCTATAAAACATTAATATATATGAGAAAGATTCATAAACAAGCCTTTAAGGTGAATATATTCATACCCGGATATACAAGATTTATGGCAGCTATATTTCTATAATATTGAAATCGGAAAAATTTATAAGGTTTGAGAGACTTGTTTTAAAAAAGCCACTATACTCCAGTAAGTTTTACTATTACTGTTGCAAACTATTTTTGATGTATACCAACTCTTTACACACTAGTTGTAAAGTAGCCCCAAAGTCGTAAGACCGTTTTAACATCTCTGTTTTTTCATCCGTTTGTTATAGTCCTACTAAGTAGCTCCTACAGGATCATTGATGAATGTCGAAAAGTACGAAACTTTAGTATTTTAATACCAGTTACTATTTTTATAATTAAATGACTGGACTGTTATCTTTGAAACTTTAAGCATTAAATACATTGCTTCACAATATCTTCTACAGTCGATTGGCTCAGGAAACGCGTAACTATTCAACAGAAGTATATCTCATTACAAAGACGTCTATCTAGTGTTCGTTTTTTTCATCCCACAACTTTCTCAAATTTTCGTAGTTTTGCATCACAAATTGAGCCTATATTTAGATAACCACTAAGGACTAGGGAGTATTGGACAATCGTATTATCCTTATAAGGGACCCCACTACAGATCGAAACCTGTACTTTGAGGTCTTGCGGCGAGCACTGAAACTTGAAATCAATAGTTTACATTCCTAACTTAAATTAATTCATGATACTGCGCAACCTAATTTTAATGTTAAAGTTGAGCAAATTGTCTCACGGCTAACTTGGTTGAACTATACTAGTCACTACTTCTCACCAGAACTCCAGGAATTATTAAATTCACCATTCCCTACTTCCGTATATTTATCTTTCATCGAATACATATCTTTATACTCGTGAACAATGCATTCAGAACGACATATGCGTAGGATATATTTTTCCTAGTGGTGTTTTATGCCGGTTCTAAAGATTATATATATGCCTTGCAAAATAATAATAATAATATACACACCATTTATCCATGTCTATCTCGTAATGTATGTCAGTCTAATGGTGTAGTGTCTGTCATGGTTAGTCAGCGAGCTGACTAACTTCATCAGTGCTACTACTAATTCTTCGTTAGCCAATCTGTGAAACTCGGTGTATATCTGTCTCTCCTCTATACATGTAGACATACAGTTGAACTACAAATCAAATTGAAACCGCCTACGCAATTCCATTGTTTTTAATTTTTATTTCATAGACTATAAGGGAGTAGTAGTATGCATATAACAGCTAGTTAGTCAGTAGAGTTAGTCATCACATTAAACATACTCTTGTAAATCCAGTCATTGCTGGGCAATAACCTTCAAAACCTTATCTCAAGGTTATCATTATACCCTTTCTATTACAACTTGATTATAAGTCAACACAGATAAAATCCATTCTAATTGTTGACAGGTTGTTACTTGTTTGTTTGGTCTTTTTCTATAAACACAAAGAAATGAATATTGAGTTTCTTTTTGTTTTTTGCTGCTTTTGCCTAAACAAGTTAGTAATGGAGAAAAGTCACTGATGCAAAATACTTATACACTTGCTAAAGTAAAAAATAGATGACTATTGTTGTCATCAATGCAATGTCATTAAATGGAAAATTGTAAGCTATATATATATGGCATTGACCAACTAAATCTCGTAAACGGACATTTTAGCAAATCAGTGCATTAGCAACAGTATGGAGAACACAATGTAAACATCATATATACTATGAGAGACAGAGATTTCAACCGTCGGGATGTCATATACAGTTTGGTGTATTAATGATATAAAGTCTGAAGTTTTTAGGATATGACTCGCAAACAAGTGGTTTTAAGGATTAGACAAAATTGCGCCGATCTCCATGCAAATACAAACTATTGAAATAAATCTTGTTCAAGACGTCCCATGTGTTAACCAAGACTGATCAAATTTCAGTCGAAAATATCAACAACGGGACAATCCAAACCATTTTGAATAGGATTATATTCCCCTGTCAAGTGTAGATAAAAGTATGAAACTAAAAAAGCCCATTTAATTCCTAATCACTGATTCATTCTCTGACCAACCTCTGAGGGGTAATTCCCAAAGTTCTCATGCGAAGCCGTGATCGCTAGAGTCCAATCATGCCGAGCGTAAGACAAATATTATTAACCATGGCACTTGATTACAGTCACGAAATAATTGAAGTTAGAAGTGCAGATCATTAGATAGCAACTCAACGACCTGAAAATTAAGCCCTCGCCGCGAGGCCCGAAATCTCTGGGTTTGAAACCCTAGTGGGGTCACGGACTCACACTAGTGATGAGTCTTATACTGGGACAAATTGGCTCTCCCACGACTATTGCTTCTTAACTGTCGTTTCACTTCAGCCGGTCTACGATGTAAAACTGCAAAGCTCGACAACTTCCAATACCCCTTTTCATACCACACATAATCGATTTTTTTCTTATCGTATGCATTCTATACACTCAATTATATTGTTTCCAAGGTAAATTAACCGTTTTCTGCAAATAATTAATTAAATACGGGTCAGTTCACGCGTCATTGAAACACATACTGTATACGTGTGTTCAAAGGCTAGTGTTATGATTCACTTTGTTTAACCAATATAGGTAGCAACGCGCGTCCTGGATTCCACTGCTAGCCACTAACCATCATTACTTACAAAAAGCTTGTGAATTAAGGCAATATCGAGGCATACACACAGTATGCACATATGCCAATAACAGACTAATCAATTGCAGTCTTAAGCCTCAATGGGAAGATACAAGCCAGACAATACCAAGTTAATATAGGTAGATAGGGTGAACGTGTAACCAGTTTTTTTAAAGATCAAGCAGTTCATTTCCCGAAGTGCTATTCAACCTATTACTATAATCAAACAACTAATTAGCAAAACTCTCAGTCATAGACCAGGTCGCGAATTTAAATCAGTTGGAATGACGTTTAAAAGCCAGGTTTGTTCAGTTTATGTGCCAAGCATAGATTAGTATGCTTAGTTTAGAGCCACACTCTACTTATAAGAGCTAATGTCACATGGTTACCCAAACCGAATAAGCTGTAGCGGAGTCTGGACCTGCGCTTATTGATTGAGAGTCGAGGGTCTTAACCGCTGTTGTACTAGAAATACTGGGTAGCTAACTTGACCGTAATGTGAGAATATTCGGCAGCAGTGCGCGCCACTGTTCGCTCGGGATTGAACCTATATCACCTTAAGGTCTTATAATGAGTGAGTGCATCACCCTTAGACCATTTCAGTCTATAAGCTTTTAGGTTCATATATCGTCCCAAACTCGAACGAAACATATGTGTCTAGTGTTTCTGCGTTTTCACTGATATTATCAACCCACTATTAAGGCCAAAATTCGAAATAATCTGACTATAACTTATAAATTATTAGCAATTAATGAGTGAATAATGAGAATAAAGGTCATGAAATGAATAAATCTTTACACAATTTAACATTTCCATAATTACTATACACTAACTGATCAATTATTTCTTGTAAAATATTTTCTTTTCTCGCCAGAAATCAATCACTTAGAACAGTCAGCCCGATTTGGTGGTAATAACAACAATAGTAATAATAATAAAGATGGCTATTCTACATTGGATTTATTAAGTGGATCAGCTGTTGGTCCTGTGGCAGAATTAGCTCAACTAGCAGCTACACCATGGTCACAATTATTAGATACAAATCGTGCCAGACAACGTGAATTATTATCAGAATGTGAACGGCATAAAATTGCTATCGACCAAGTGGATACTCATTTAGCTAAAACAAAGTATGTGATTATTCAATACTATTATTATTATCCCGTAAGTTTTTTTATCGCTACTCGTCATCATTGGACTCATTTTATCGGTGCCAAAGATAATCAGTGTATTCACAAAAACAAGCTAGGAAAATGAGCCTAAAACCAACTACCTAGCTTAGGGGTCGGGATGGTGGTTAACAGTGATATTATTTGATCCTACTCTTTACGGTACCGATGATCCAATAAATGTCGTGTCTTGTTGTAAACTGATTGAAATTCTTTTTGAACATAAGTTTACATCTTATTTTTAGTTCTTCAATTTGAAAATCGTATTCGTTTTGTGTTAGAGGATAAAACCGATATATTGAAAGGCACAAACAATCTAGGGATGATCTGGTATAATTAGTTATAATCAACAAGCAACCAACGGAGCAAATGTCCATTAGCTCAAATTGCCCACTACATTAACTAAATGAAAATGGCCCGAAATATTAGTAGTGCCGGTGATAATGATACTAGGCATGAAGAATATAGTTCGAAAGAAATGAAATCAAGGAATATAAAGTGTCAGACAAAACATTGAAGATAGGAGAATAAAATGTGCCTGCTCCTTTGTGATCGGGTTTGAGCCATGTCATCTAAAGTTTCTTCCGACCATTGATCACAAGGTAGTTTACACTTACTAACATGATTTGGACGAACATTCACTGACTTCTTGGACTGGTATTGTCTTTGTCTGTTCCCGTCCCGCAGCTTTCGTCTAATCTACTTAAACACATCGAATTTGACAGATGATGATTCAGCATACGAAACATTTGTCTCAGGCACCTCAGTCCAAATAAGCTACACTTCACACATCAGAACGAAAGTAAATTAAAGATATGGAACCAAGAAATAGAATAATCTTTTTTGCATTGGTTGTTTGGATCTTCCCATTGATGTTTAGGACGAGACGCACATCCTGAATTCCACTGCTAGCCACCATCAACTCCGCTTATCATTATTATAAGCGAATGAAAATGAAATATATGAATTACGACAGTGAATTGAATAACCCTATATAGACCAAAGCGAAAAGAAGTGGGAGCGATCAATTTCCAGTGCCTCTTTACTTACATTCGCAAGTGAAAGTTAGTTGTCGACAGTTTGGTAAACTTATCAAAACAATTGGATTAAATTCTTAGAGTATGTATTGTCTCCAATTCTGAGGGAATGAACTACCACCTATTTTTTGTTTTCAACAGTATCTCAGAAAAGAACTTTATGTAAACGTATTTTACTAAGGATATTAGGAAAACTGATAGGTAGTGACATAACCGCTTATGGATAAACTTAATAAAATATAACAAACATCTCATCAACATCTGAAAATACATTGCAGATACATTAGTGAGACGATTAAACGCATCCTAATTACATGAATTAGTCCATTTTAGGCCTATTTAATTACGTTGATGCTTAATATGTAATTAGGTCTATGTGTCTCCCAATATTTATCATTCTTCAGCATCGAACAGAATTTTACCATAAATTGTTTTAAGCAAACATAAAAAAACTGCAATTTGTCACTTCATGAGCCTCTTGATTTAAAAAACAAGTCACTATAATGCAAGCCAATAGTCGAGCATGAAATACACGGTAACCTTTGCATGACTACTTCGCAAACTACCTTAAACGTTGCATTACTTAAAAACAAATTACACTTATAAATTACTAGATATGCCCATGGATATCTAGTTACCTAGATTCTGCTTTAGTTCTAAACCTAATCAACGTAAAGTGTAGCTTATGAATGTAAGACGAAGATCAAGAATAAATAATAACAATAAGTATTATTCAGTTTCGGAAATCTAAAGTTGCATCATCATCATCAACCTAACTGAATCTTGGATGATCATATAATCTACATCAATGGCACATACTACTTCATTTTCTTTAAATAAAAACACCTTACGTCGAAAATCTAGTGGTCCCACAAGCAAAGGTAATTGAATATCCTTGACCCTACTTGTAGCTGCGGCCGTACTCGTATAAATAACTTTGTTTAAATCAACACATATAATCAAATCTACTGACATAGTATTACTTAGCGATTTCTTAGCAAAGTTTTTTTCTACAGGAAGGTGTTGCTCACCCTATGCCCAACTCCCCCCCCCTTTATCCGGGCTTGGGATCGGCTGTAACTCTAGAGGTGTCCCAGACAGAGCTCCTAACACAGTATACATTAATCGGATATCTGTAGTGTTTTATAGTATTCAAACTAAGAATTCCACTAGTAACTAAACCTGCTTGTCAAGACAGAAATTAAAATCAATCCACAAGGTTACAAAAATTACCTTGTTCAACTTAAAATTGTACTTCTTAATTTCACTTTATTCTACCACATCTGCTACGTAATAGGAACATATAACTAGATTTTTCCTCCATTTTCATTTTTACAACGAAAACAGAATGAATTTATCTCAACTGGAAAATCAAATTAGTCAAGAGTTAAATCGATTGCTCAATGAATTGGAAGGATATAATCAACATAGAAGGTTACTACTGAAATCAGCCGGAAGTAGTAGCTCACAACCTCGTCATAGAACAACTATCAATAATCCATCAGAGGTGGCAAGTGATGGTGTTGCTGTATAAAATAAATGAATTATACTACCGTCATGTTATGTGCGAACATTTGAACATAAACACAATAAATATTATCTCATGTAAATTATCTAGTTTCATGAAGGTACAATCTTTTTTCTTATTTTCATGATAATCTTTTTTCTCAATATACAATATCCTATACATAAATCCAGTCGTAATACTGTATTTGTTTACCGATCGATTGATGACTGTCTAGAAAAAAAGCTTGGGACTATGGTAGGTAGCCTCCTATGAACCTTTAAATCATACATCTTTTGTTTTCAGTGATTAAGAAGATATAATGTCTCTAGTGAGCGATAGTCTAACAATCAATGGATGAAGTTGACCATAAAAATCTACAGAAAGGACTATCGAATGTACTTCACATTCAACGGACGGAAGGTTTTACTGTTCTCCGTATATTTCCGTCTGATGACGTAAACAACCCATCCAGACGTTGTAGTGAACAAGTCAGGTACAACGTAGAACCTGGTACCAGTAGTAAAACAAAAAATTAGGCATCGAAGATACGATCCGAAAAAACATAAATTTCTGAAAGAAAATTATGAGGAATTTAAAAGCTTAGAGTTTCGAGAAAAATAAAGGATACATGGGACCCACGTCATTGCAAATGATGTTGATCCGCATAATTCAAAGCTTTTAACCACCGGTCGCAGTAACCACACGAACCCCAAACAGGTAGTTGTTAGTGGGACATAGATTGGATTTAAGCATGCTCAATGCACGATTGCTTTGGCGCACGCTGATTGGCTGATTCTTATCCAATCAGCGCTAGTCGATACATGGAGAAGACTCTAGATTCTTCTTATGTAAAAACTGTAAATATACTAACGGTTTTTCTTTTGTGCCCCTTTCTTCCATCTAACCTTGTAATTTGGAATACAATCTCTTTCCTGTTCAACCGTGTTCTGATTTGGGGACTTGTCGAGCGAATTGGTGTCCGAGAATACTAAGCAATAGGAATAGCTGGATTATAACCGTAAGAGAGAAATTATAACAGAGGCGACGGGGAAAATGGAAAATAAATTCAAGATGTTCATATCAGATGATTTATTATTTATTTATTTTAACACATAAGTATAGGTACAGGGAGGCACCAAATACATATGCGCCACACAAATCTCAATTGATTTGTGTGAGGGCTGTGATACTGCCCGGGTGCCCAAACCGAAGCAGGTGGTTTTCTTAGGGGGCCACACCTCGAGCCTTTGACCTGAACGTCTGATCCACAAGGCAGTGGAGCATCGTAAGGAGATGCAGTCCCATGGTAGCCGGTGACCAACGATTGGTTCATACGACATTTGTTCCTTCAGGATACTGGAGCCCATGTGCACCATTGATTTGGGGTCCGGTTAAAGCGCCAGACATTCGCTTTTCGTCCTCTCATTTTCGTAAACAACACCCCCGCCACGAGAAGGCAGTGAGTAGGACTTCCCTGGTAGAGGCTATATACGCATGGCCATGTGAGAGCATTTCGAGAGGGAGAGCGGACTCTCCCCACTCTCGGCCGTACCAGGGCATTTGGGGGCATATCAGATGACCAGCTTAACCGAATACTACAACAACAGCAAGCACAATTAGATGCACAAATGCAGTTGTTAGAGACTCTGACTCAACAGCTCAACTTCCACTGCTCAAGTTCACATGGTATTTCAAGTACGTCTTGTGATGCAGTTGTTTGCAGCATCTCAGAATTCATCTATGATCCCGAAAGCGGAAATACTTTTCTCACGTGCTTCAAACGTTGAGAAGATACATTTAGAATAGAATTCTGTAACCAAGACGACGCGTGGAAGACTCGACTGTTGGTAAGTTAGTTGGGAAGCAATGAACATGCACGTTATGCTGACCATATATTGCCAAAGTTACCTCGAGAGCTCAGTTTCGAGGAGACGGTAGTTCGATTGTCAGAGATATTCGGTGAATCCTCCTCATTGTTCAGTATTCGACATCAGTGTCTAAATTTGGTGAGACGCGAAGCCGATGAATATGGTGTTCTAGCAGACATCGTCAACAGAGAATGTGAACGGTTCAAGTTACGCTCGTTGACAGAAGACCAATTTAAATGCTTAATATTCATCAAAGCTCTTCAGTCACCACAAGATGCTGAGATCAGGACTAGACTTTTGGCTCGACTGGGTCAAGACCCAAACGTCACAATCAGAACATTGACAGATGAGTGTAAGCGGCTACAAAGCATCAGACACGAAAACGAGTTGAACAGGCAAATCCTAATTTAACCTGCAGTAGTGTCAATGTTATTACTAGGTTAAAAGTTCAGAAGTCAATAACAACTCGTAACAAACCAACGACTGCATGCTGGTTATGTAGTGATTGGCATTATGTACGATTCTGTCCATTTAAGAAGCATAAATGTCAGGTGTGCAACAAACGTGGACATAAAGAAGGTGATTCTCCACCGGATCGTACGTCTCATCCCAAAAAGAAGCATAAACGTTCTCGTAATGTGAAATCAGCCGAGTCTAAATCTCTTTCTCTGGTAGCTGCCTTTCAAACAAAATATGACATTCGGAGAGAGTGTTACCATCCAGATAAATGGTATATCAGCTCGTCTTCAAATTAACACGGCATCAGATTCCACCTTAGTGTCTAGAGAAACGCATAACTTGCTGGGTAAACCGCCAATGAAGCGATCTAAGATAACGGCCAAAAACGCATCAGATGGTGTGCTAAAACTGGTTGGTGAATTTTCCTTCAATGGAACTAAATGTACAGGAATATGTTACCTAACAGAACGGCCAAACCTTGGTCTTCTTGGTCTAGATATATTAGATAAACTTGGAATAATGGATGTACCGATTAACAGTGTCTGCAACGTATCGTGTTCATCATTAGACACCCCAGTACTTGCAAAGAAGACAGGTGAACGGTTACTAGAAAAACTGAAAAGAAAGTTTGCCTCTGTTTTTCAGAATAGCCTTGGCCACTGTACCAAGATGAAAGCTCATTTACCATTGAAACCAGATGCCAAACTTATTTTTCGTCCGAGACGTTCTGTACCATATGCTGCTCTTGAGCTAGTCGATCAGGAACTTAATCGCTTGCAACAGGCTGGTGTAATCCAACCAGTCAACTACTCTGCATGGGCCGCACCGATCGTAGTGATTAAGAAGGCGAATGAAACTATGCGCATATGTGCCGATTTCTCGACCGGTTTAAATGCTGCATTAGATGTGTATCAATATCCGTTACCAGTTCCTGAAGACCTGTTTGCCAAACTTAATGGTGGGACATGTTTCGCGAAAATAGACTTTTCTGATGCCTATCTGCAAGCGGAAGTAGATGAAGACAGTAGAGAGCTTTTGACCATTAACACTCATCGAGGGTTATTTCAATACACCCGTCTACCATTCGGCATCAAGACCGGACCTGCTATCTTTCAGCAAATAATGGATACGATGCTAACAGGTGTCTTCTTTATGCATTCCATCAAATACCTTGGTTTTATCTTAGATAAGAACGGTCGCCGACCAGACCCTGCCAACATCGAAGCCATTCAGAAGATGCCTGCACCAACTGATGTCTCTTCATTAAGATCCTTCTTGGGGTTAATCAGTCATTATAGCACATTCTTACCTGAAATGCATCGAGTGAGAGGTCCCCTGAATGAATTACTATCAAAAGATAAACCTTGGCAGTGGTCAGCAGAATGTCAAGCATCCTTCGACAGAGTCAAATCAATGCTGAGCTCAAAGATTCTTTTGACACACTTCGATCCCAGCTTGGAAATTGTTGTTGCATCTGATGCATCTAGTCATGTAGTTGAAGCAGTGATATCTCACGTGTTTCCGGACAAATCAGAAAAGACAATTGCCCATGATGCTAGATCACTTACCCCAGCCGAGCGAAACTACAGTCAAATTGAGAAGGAAGCTCTTGCAATCATTTTTGCTGTCAAAATATTTCATAAAATGCTCTATGGTCGTACATTTACTCTACTGACAGATCAAAAACCTTTGATTGCAATCTTTGGTTCTAAGAAAGGAATCCCGATCTATACGGCTAATAGACTACAGCGCTGGGCAACAATGCTCCTGAGTTATGATTTCAATATCAAGTATCAGTCGACAAATACTATCGGTCAAGCCGACGCTCTCTCGATTAATTGGACCAGAGGATATAATCATTGCCTCCATAGCAGCAGACCCAGAAATACGAAGTATAGTGGCAGATGCCATTCGAAACACTCCAGTGTCGTCAGATGAAGTCAGAGAAGAAACTCTTCGAGACCCGATTCTACAAGAAGTTAGAAAGTTCCACCTGGAAGGATGGCCAGCGAAGATCAGTTCCACAGAGCTTCAACAGTTTTATCAGCGTAGATTCTCTCTCTCAATCATCGACGACTGCCTGCTGTTTGCCGAACGTGTCATAATCCCAAAGAAGCTACAACCAGCAGTGCCAATACCACAGTCACCGTGGCAGCGTATACACTTGGACCTTGCTGGTCCACTTCATGGACAAACTTACTTTTTGGTAGTTGATGCATATAGCAAGTGGCCAGAAATCTTTCTCATGGAACACCCGACTGCAAGCTGCACAGTCAGTAAGCTACGTCAACTATTCATTCATTTCGGAGTCCCGGAATTGATAGTTAGTGACAACGGAACACAGCCTCAACGAAACCTATCGATGGAGAATCAGTCCAATCGACATCATGGGGCACAAAAACGATTGTTCACGGTGGGACAAAAAGTACTTGCTATGGACTATCGTGAGAAACATCCTACATGGACAGCTGGTTGGATCTTGAAAAAGAAAGGGAGTGTAGTTTATAAGGTGTCAGTTGGCTCAGAAGTTTGGGTACGTCTTGCTAACCAATTGAAAGCAACTTCGATAGCCAGCAACGAGACTCAATATCGATTACCTCTTGATGTTCTGCTAGATACCTTTGAAATCAAAACGCCTGGAACAGTCAGGTCAGTTTCTGTGCAAGCAAAGAGTGATACTTCTTTATTGCCTAGACGATGGACAAATCGAAAGCACAGGCCGGTCACTCGGTTGCAGTTGGACCCTAGCACCAGATCCTACGAATCTGCTCAAAGGGGAGGTGTTAGTGGGACATAGATTGGATTTAAGCATGCTCAATGCACGATTGCTTTGGCGCACGCTGATTGGCTGATTCTTATCCAATCAGCGCTAGTCGATACATGGAGAAGACTCTAGATTCTTCTTATGTAAAAACTGTAAATATACTAACGGTTTTTCTTTTGTGCCCCTTTCTTCCATCTAACCTTGTAATTTGGAATACAATCTCTTTCCTGTTCAACCGTGTTCTGATTTGGGGACTTGTCGAGCGAATTGGTGTCCGAGAATACTAAGCAATAGGAATAGCTGGATTATAACCGTAAGAGAGAAATTATAACAGTAGTCTACACAGGTTAATGACTCAGTCTAATTGTCAATGATTTCATGGAATAATCCCAAATTTCGCTCTGGCCACTCTTAGATTTCTTCCAACCAATTCTTACACTAGACAACACCCGTGGAGGTAAGCGGTGGTTAGACATACGTACCACATTCCCCAACTACCTTAGCTGATAGATATCTACTATCTCATCTGTCGATTTGCCATCTTTAGATGGCACCCTATTCCTCACTCAGATATTGCTTAGTCGGTGGTCGGAAAATACATGACCAATGCTTCGAAGGCACCTATTATCGAATACTAGGAATGTGAACATTTTTTATCGGTAGCAAATTTTTTAAAAAAAAACCTTTTTGCGAAAGATTGCTCCATGTTGGCTGTATATCCCGTCTCAATTAAAAGGGCTGAAATAGAGCTAATCCGTGTCGGGTAGAGACAGGTATCTACCTCAGTACCATGGAAGATGGTCGCGCAATTTCGTAGGTTAAGCGTTCGCGCGCAAGACTGAAGGCC